TATTTCTCCATTGTGCTTAAGATTAGCTCAAATGTCTGGGCTGTATCCATGTAAATACCCGCCCTCCGGCCAAAGCTATTGTCATTTGCATCTACAATGAATCGCCCAGTTTATTACAGCTTATTATCATTGATAACTCTATTTTTAATGCAAACTCTTCAATTAAAGCAACATCTTCTCTTACAAGAGCATTTATATAGTTTTAATACAGCCAGCTTTTTTTGGATTCATTTATTTAAAAGTAGGAAAAGCTAACTTACTTACCTGAGTAGACTTTTTCCTAGAATTATCAAGGTACTATTTAATGATATAATTGATCAGTAAAAATGTATTCTCGTCCTCATGTAAGCTAATTTCATTTGTAATTAATGCCCCCTCAATCTGTACCTAATAAGCATTTAATGAGTTCCATAACTAACCTATTATTAAATACTGAGACAGTAGATTGCCTCACGCAAACATGAAGGTGATACAATAGCTTTTTCCATCACAAATATTTTTTTCATATTGGTTGGTGGAAGTGATGGACTTCATAATTCTTGCTAATTAATTTGACTCAGTCCCAACCCATTCTTCTTTCTCTTCTGGTGAGGATAAATTCCTTAATAAGATTTCAACTCGTGGGAACCTCATCCAGACTGGAACTTGTGGGCTATGTTACGGGGGAGAAAAATGAGCACTTACTCATGGCCTCCCGTATCAGACTTTTTGATATTTCAACAACATGATTTCCATCTTACTTAAAATTGAAAGTGTTTCTTCATCTCTAAAGGAGAGATGTATTGGAAATGGAAAAGCAAATTTAGTAAATGAAAACGATCAAAAAAGTGTTTCATTTTTTTTTTTTTAATTGCTTTTTTTCTATCATCGTAAAAAATCATGTATAGTGTGTTGCGGTAAGGCAAGAAAGTGGGGAGTTTATATTTAATGGAGTTTATCATTTTGGCCAGCCAAGTCTGCAATAATTTCCCCCTTCATAAATAGTGTAGTCAGTATTTACATATTTTTTAACAGTAAGAATAATTACATCGATTGTCTGAATGCAGTTCTTAGCGTGAATAATACATTCTTGTGTTTAGACATTTCTGATATCCAAATTTTAAAGTATCTAACCAGACAGATAAAAGCATGCTCTTATTTCCCCTCTTCATAAGATTGTGTCATTTAATGCCTATTGTTACTTTAGTAGCTGCACACTGTGTTGGTTGATTTTGCTTTAAACACGAACATGTTTATGGTTCTATTCTACTTATCAATGGCTAATGTCCTGAATAATTTTATGATGTAGCAATGATAAAATAGTCAAAGTTGTTCCAATCTTTTACAGGAAATATGTCCAAATTTATTGTTAAAATTTGTCTAGTGTCGCAACTCCTGTAATTTAGGAGAATGAAGTGCATCAGTTGAAAAAATGAAATCGGGTTCAACCCGAAAGTAATAAATGTGAGCAAATATTTTACAATATCGTATTGTATATGTTTTATTATCATTATTTTTTTCATCATAAGGCATCGATGTAGAGTGTAAAATCTAAAAATGTTATACTTGCTAATCTTTCAACAATTTCCGTAGACGTGCAAATCAACTGCACCATTGAACTTTGAAAATAAATTATTCAGAGCATTTCCAAAATAAGAAATTTGGTCCTTCATCAGAGTACATCACTTTTTTTTTAGTTTAATCTATAGACTCTGATATCCTATTCTCATTTAATTATGAAGTTTTTTTTTAAGAATTGAATCCATTTTGGACCATTCAACATCATTAATCCTTTTAGTTTATTCTAGCTCTGTTAACACTAAGTGATTAATGCCAGTGGAAGAGCAAATAATCCAAAAATGGGGAGGTACTTCAAAATAACTATCATCGTTGATTTTACTTGATCATTTAATGAAATGTTGGACCATAATCACTGAAAATTGAAGTCTTAATATTGTCAGCAACACACCTTGCATTATTTCTCTGTTCTTTAGTTTTTTCGCTCTAACAATGTAAGCTGTAGCAATGTAAGCTTTATAATGAGCAAACGAGGTTAAGTATTTTTGGTGAGAAAGCAAAGCTGACGGCCCATGAAAGTTTTTCAGTCACATGGTTTTACGCAGTAATTTTTTATTGTTTCTGCTACTGCACTTACTTTTATGAGGATTGTAAATTATTCAGGTAGTAACTTCTTAAGATTGTTAGTCAAAAATGTGAGACTGATAATATTGTTATTGTTGCAATTCATCTTATTTTGTTTGTAAAGCATGCATCAAATGTATGATCAGAATATTAAAACATCATATTAGATAATATTGACAATGATCTTGGTTGAGATGGAAATGTAAATATACTTTTCGGACAATTTTTAATGGACTCGAGAATCAAGTTCATTGAATTTTCATGAGCACTCGTTCTGCAGTTCTTCTTTTTGTTTACCTTCAGTCAGTAATACTCTTGAAAAAGAACTTCATAACTTGCAGTTTTGACCGGTGATGTGCACAGGAGAATGTAAATTGAATACTCGGTATTAATCACTTAATTTCTTTTATTCTCCTGCAGCTGCTTAATATTTAGGATCAGCTCTAGTATTATTTGACAGAGCCCTTCATTACTAATCTAACGTTAAGTGGTACCTGATATGGCTATAACTAACTTTTTGACTTACATTTTTCCGGTGAAACTCGTCATTTTTATGTTTGAAAAAACAGTTATCTTCACATATGGATGCTTAAAGCAGTTTTAGGGGTTAAAGTAAAAAAAAATGTTGGCAATAGGGCACCCATATGCAAGATATATTTAAAAAATTAAGATTTTAAAAATCAAGCTTAAAATCATGAAACTGCGTTTGCCAGTACAGTAAATTTTTTAATTAATTGCTTACTTATGTGATATCTTGATAACAGTTTCTTTTTCAAAGTACAAAATATGGCGAAACAAGTTTGCTCGAGTACTAAGGAGTTTTTTTTTTCTGTCTCTTCAGTAGTGTAAAATATGTACATGTTTACAAAGTAAATTGTAAATTTGAATTTTTATCTTTTTTTTCAATTCTATTTGGTAATGCTGTTTTTATTGTTAAATCTTTTCTATTTTGATTTCCTCAATAAGTGTTGTAATTTATTGCGTATTAAAAAAATAATGGCAAAATCATTAACTTTCTTCTCAATCTTCCCAATTAAACCCATAAAACTTGAGTGTAAGCCAACCAAATGGCTGCTTGAGTATGTACCAATATATTCAGAGAGATTTTCCAAGTCTTAAACCCTCGAGTTATAACATTACTAAATCTGTTATGATGTTTCAGTATCTTCTTACAGTCTATTTTTGAAAAATAGGAAACTGATGAGCATGTTTACACACTGAAAACTTTTCTCCCGTTTTTTTATCATAATTAAGGCAATTTGAGAAACATCTCAATCAAATATATAAATGAGTTTTTCCAAGAAAAATGAATAATGGAATGTGTTCTTGAAAATGAATTTTGCTACATTTGATATACTTTTTGGCAGTGTAAATTGAAACCAGAATTTGGACTTTATCGATTCGTTGTGTCCTAGCACTTTGCCTTCTAGTTACATTCCCAAGAAAACCACTGTATCAGCCCATGAGTTTTTGTCAAGCAGGAATCAAAATAGGTTTTCCGTCCTATAGAGAGATTTGTTCAAGGAACACCTAGGTGTTTTCTTGGAGAACTTGGTTTAATTTTTCAGAGATCAAGCTAAAGTTGGCTAACTTTTAGAGTGCAGCAGAAGATCTTATTTTTGTCTTCATTTTTGCATTGGAACGAAAGACAATAATCAAGATGATAGATCCTTACTTTTTACCACACAGAAGCTAGGGTCATTGGACCGTGTGAAAAAACAAGTAACTACTTGAGTGCTGGGTGCCTCAAAGTAATGTATTTTTATTTTATCTTAAAGAAAAAAAAATAGGCATTAGAGCGACCCCTACAAATGGTCGCCCTTTTATAGGGAGATATAGTATCTACTTTCTTATGATTCTTGCATTTAGTTTAAATGCAGAAGTGAAGACAGAAGATCCTCAACCTCATGCGATAGGAGTATAGGCTTAAATTCGAGTGAGTGCCTTAAAGAGACATTTTCTTCCCATTCTATTCATTCGGATGTTTTTCTTTTGATGAATTTGTTACTTTATTTTCATTTCTTCAAAAAGTATGGAGAAATAAATAATTCAGCCTCATCAAAATTGGTGGCTAGGTAGGCAAAGGTGCTCCTCCTATTCTGGCGTCTCGACTAGTGTTCAAGATTAAGAAAGACAACTTACAGACTCTGCAACGCAGTTTCACAATCTTTAGAGGGGTGCTAAAAAAATTAAATAAAATTAGAATTTAACCACATGTAATTGATTTCAGTCGCCTTATTGCTGGGGNGGGGGGGGGGAGGGTGTTCAGCATAAGTTTCTTTAGGACTTCCGACCCATTTGATCAGTGGCACTCTTTTTTAAAATTCATTTTCCCAAAATACGGGGCGAACCAAGTTTCTGGGAATATTTTTAGATTTAAACCCTAAATGACGAAGAAACCCCATTTTGAAAATTGAAAATGCCACAAATGAGATCCATTTCACCCATTTGAAACGATATATTTGGCGAGAGTACGATGACAGAACCAGNNNGGGGGGGGCCTTGCTGATTGGCTAACCTCAGCCTCTGGCGTCGTGTTCCGACTTTCTGATTTTGATTATCTTTTCTCCCCTTCGAAATAAATTCTTGATCTTCTCAACGAACTCTATGGTTTTTTCAACAAATTTTACACATAACATACACCCGCAGAAATTCCTTGCCACTGCCTCGAAGAAAGAGCTTAAAAGTAACGGTCGACTCACTCGTTTTCCGCTTACATTTACCCGCCAAATTAGAGGGACCAATCAGTGAGTTGGAGGCTTTCTTTCTTAATTTTTATTGGCCAGCGATTGGGCAAATCTGATTGGCCATACAATTACGCTCTTGTTTACATGCTGTAACCGTAATTCTGTTTTTTTTTCCTGTTTAGCATGGTTTAGATTAGAATAGAAGGAAAAGTTTAAAATTTTTAAGCTTTGAGCTTTCCTGTAATCAGTGCGGTACGGTGTGATCGTAACACAGAGCATTTTTGGAAACTTGAGATGTGTTTGAAGCGAATATAGCAATTTTCTTTCTTAAGTTGTTGTTGAATGTGCACTGTAATCAACAGTAAGTAAATCGAAAAAGTCACATGTTCTAAGATTTCACATAAGTACCCTTCAATCTTATCTGAAACTGTTTGTGAGGCTCAATAATGGATGCTTTCACAGAGGTAAGTAAGTCAGAGTACATAGTGTCACTAATAATTTCCTAATCCTTTATTTCGGTAGCTAAAGGAGCCACTGAGAACGCTGTGTACCTACTCATAGACGCTATTAGTGGCGACGTCATCATAGGGATTCTCCATTATATCGAATTGGATCCAAACAATATCATTGGCATAACCTCTTTCAATGCTACCAATGCGGAAAAACCGATAGATATCGCTTTTCTGTGACGTTGCACTAATAGCGTCTATAGCATCAGCACACTGAAGACGTATTGGTTTTTGTGAACCCCTCATGAAACTTTTTCCAAACTGTTCGGTGATTCCTTTAGGCACTGTTGAATTCAGTTGCTGCAGATCATCAATGAAATCAGGATTTTCAATGAATGATCCGAAATCATCAAACCTGAAGGTTTTAAAGTTCGTAGGGAATGAAGAGATGGCAAAAAGGTGGGTTCTGAGAAAAGCTCACTGAAACTAGTCTCCAGCAGATCAACTTTATTTAGTTTAAGGCAGCTTACCTTACAGTCTTGAAAGGTGAAATCTGCTAGATCCTCTGTACGGCAAGAGCCCTCTGAAGTGAAATGTGCCAAACTCGGCTTTTGGTCTAAGATAGACTGCGCCAGCCTTTAAGCGACAAGGGCTTTTTTTTAATGCAGATTGCCGTGGAACGTGGTGGATCACGATAAATATCAGTATTTTTACATTCCGTTCCTCAGCCGTGATCAAAACGTTCCAGGTGGATCAGGGTGGAACGCTGTATCGCTCTTCCGAGGTGGAGCGAGCTCGTGATCCACTGTGATCCTAACCTAATGGGAGGAAGTTGCCGTCCCCAACAAATCTAACCAAATTCCAAGTTTGGATTTTTTTTGTCACTTGGAACACTTTGGATCGCTCAGAATTCCGATCCAGTACGTTCCACTGCAATCCACCCTGTTCCGCGATAAAAAAAAAAAAGCCCCATAGTATCGTTACCGAATTTAGATGTTAGGAATTCTCAACATTGCGTGCAGTTCATTAGGAACATTATAAGCTCTGATTCGCAATTTTTGCGTCGAACTGCCCAAAACTTAAGGACTGCAAAGGAGTTAGTCTCCTAAATCCATTTAGCAAAATCTTCAAAGTGTGTCTTACCTTTAACTTTGGAGAACTTTTTTTAAAAGTGTCCATGAAAGCAGGCAGAAGAGTAAAGATGCTAAATAATCAGTAACCTTAACGCTAGATAACCCAAATTGGACCATGTGCTGGAAGCTTAATCAACTGCGGGGTATTGGATGGTTCCATTTCCACAATTCAGGAGGCTGCATTGTAATATGAATGCTGAGTACAATCATGCTACCTCAATCTCATTGCTTTGATACATCTTACTGTTTTTCTGTGATATCATTCCCTGTTAAATCTGATATACATTAATATATTGTAAATGATCTTTTAGAGGATGGTGGAGCGAGCTCAAAAGCGTAAAGAGCGGTTGAATACTCATCTGAAGCATCCTACAGACAATCTTTCAAAAGAAGCACTCGATCTGAAGGAAAACAAAAATTTGCTCACCTCAGGTAATCATAAATCATTACACATTTTTTTCAACTTAACCAGTCTGGTTTTGCGGATTTCTCAGGCTACAATTTTGCGATTTTCCAACTTATCTTAACCAGAGTGCTCTTGACTGTCTTGGCTGTAGTAAAATGACACCAATTTTGAACTTAATTGCCTCATCTGATCTTTTTTACAATGGTAGAATGAGCTGGTTCAGCAGCTTCATACTTACAGAGCAATGGAGATAAAATGAATGAGAATGTAGACCGTCAGTTTCAAAGAGTCCGCTCTCTCGTACTTAATAATTCATTGGAAATAATTTAGTAAAATTCTTCAAATTAAGTTCAGGTACAACTCACAAAAACTTAAAAAGTGTTGCTAAAAACGAAAGCCCAATTTTCTGCTTTTTTGTCAAATCCCATAGAAATGTCTACAAAATCTGTTGAAGATGTCAGCGACCAATGGACCTTTCAATATTTTCAGAGTGGACACTCTTTACTTTCAATATTTTTCAAAGGAAGGTATCAAATGCGAAACATCTATTTCAATATTGCCACTGGCTAAAAAGCCTGCTTTAATGCCATATTGCGCGGTCAACCCAAAACACTCAATTGCATATCATAATGATTTTTTTTTATTTTTAATTTTATAAAATTGACATTTTCCTATCCACCATCCACCTATCCATATGCCCATCTATCTATTTATCCATTTCAATCCATCCATCTATCTATCCAAAATTCTACTACGTACCTATCCATCTATACATCAGTCTGCCTGTCTGTGTGGCTAGGGCTATTATTAATTCCCTCTTATGTAAGGTGTTAGATTGGTAGTTCAGCCATTGACTGGCTCATGAGCAAGCTAATGTTATCTAGATAGCAATTTCTCACAGCACTCACATGAATATCTGCATTTTCCCACAGATCATTTTGAATTTCATTATAAAGTTGTTTTTTTAACTTTTTTTTCAGATTTGGCAAGTAACAGAATGAAAGGAATACTGCAGAACGGTAGCATAAGTGTTTCCTCAGACAAAACAGAGAATACGGGCTTTGTCTTCAAAGCAAATTCTGAACAAAACCCAGCTTCCTCTGCTGTAGAAGTGTCATCCATCAGCCATTTGCCCAATTCAAAAAAAACTTTGCAACCGCAAAAAATGAAACCAATGGAACCTTTAAATTCCTTCAAAGAGGCGTCTATGAAATGTAGATTTTTATCAGAGATAGGAACCACAAGTGGGGTACCAAACTCACCTAAGAAATCCATCTCTATAGATCCTTGTGAGTTGAGCATTGCTGACAGGAAAGCCCTTTTTGAAAGGAACAAAGGACAAGCACCATTACCCAAAGCTCCCTACAGTCAAGCCTTACCAGCTCAAAAGAAGGAAAATGGTAAGCCGCCAATCGACCTCCCTGCAAAGCCTCCTCCGATCCATGTCGAAAATAAGTTGATTGATCGCAACATACCAGCCCGAGGTACGTGTGTTTTACTGATATATCTATCCTTTGCTTTGAAAGCAAATGCATTGGAGCTGAAAAAAATGAGCCGTTGCTTCAAAAATCCTTTCCATCAGTCACAATATCAGATTTATGATACACTATCGATAAATTTTCTTTTGAAGTGCTTGTTTAACTGTGCTCATAATTCCTAGTTTTTTAGAATTTTTCCAAATCAGTGCCTATCTATCAAGAATTTACCTGAGGATGATTTCCACCTCTGATGCGCTGCAGTTACGTTGCAGAAAGACTGAAAAATGGATTTGTGGACGGTCATTTATCTTTCCAAAATTCATTCTTCTTTGCCAAGCTACAAGATTTGTGGAGCAAGTTGATATCATTAAATCGAATTAACTTTTTTCAGAAAACAAAATGCCCAGCCCATCGCACCTGCCACCATCACCTCCGCCGAAGCCTGATCACCTAAGAGCTTTCTTAGAAAAGATTGAAGCAGATACAAAAATTAAAAAAGCAGATACTTCTACCTCCAATTTAGAACTTAAAGATCAAGATACATCGTATGAATCTGTTGCATCCAGTGAAAGCAGCCTTGGTCAGAAGATTGTTAGATTAGCACAAAAGAGAGGGAAGGAAATTGAAGAGTCTAAGGTTAGTATCATTACTATTTATTTTTCCTTTTGCACTCAAAAAGTTGGGTGCAGCGAGCCCACTTTTTGGGAAATTTAGACAAGAGTTTCCAGCATTAAGAATAGACCACGGCACAAGGTTCAAATTCAAGTATTCCGATACATGTTTCCTGACCAAAATTTGACAACACAATTTATGCAATACAAATTACTGAAATCAACTCCTAACCAAGATACTACAGTTTTTAGTTTACACTACTCTTGAGAATTCTGAGTTCCCCGCTCACATAGAAAGCAATAGTCCACTTGAATCGAATCAAGCATCACAACAATTTTGGTAAGCTTCTTAATCAAGCAATGTTCCCTCCCGGACTTGTGTTGTTCAAAGTGTTAATACTGTGTATCAGCGAAGCAAAAGCACGGAGATTAAGGTTGTTATATTTTCATACCGCAGAGACCATTACGGTAATGTTTAGTGTGCGATTTGACGCATGTAGACTTTTGTTTTTTCATGAGCGCAAGGTCTAAATTTATGCATCCAAGAAGGTTAAATGTCTTAATTAGGAGATATTACTTGTGTATCGTGTTCTACAGGAAATTTTTATGAAGACTTACATATCAGAATACTTGAATTCGCACCTTGTTTCGCAGTAGCCCATTGGACTCTATGTGTTTTGAACCTACGAATACAACTACTTTTGAATCTATCACTCTTGTAGCTTTAATACCTATTTTCATATCAATGAAAATTATTAATTTGGATCAAGTATGCACAGCATGATCAAGTATGTATCTATGCACTTAAATATTAATAACTATATTACTTTATGTATATATTATTCTACCTCTCCTTCTCTATTGCTAATGATTAATATATATATTATTCTACCTCTCCTTCTCTATTGCTAATGAAGATTGACTGAAATACTGGTTTGCTCAGACTCTCCGGAATTCTACCAGAGCCTCATCCTGGCAGGATTTTTATTGATTACTATAAATGACTACCTGGATGTAAGATAACACCATAATAAGACATTATATTATTTTTTTGTTCTTTTGCATGGAAAAGGAAAGATGTAAAAAGTTACATTACAGATGTATTTTCGATTTGAACACCTTGAATAATTTTTCATTCATATTTTCTTATTTTTTCAGAGACAAATTAGCCTTAACACGCTGTCAGCAAGTGAATGCGACTTCGACTCCAATGATAAAACTTCGGATAAGTTAGCTCTCAACAATGGTTCATCTGGTCCAACTCCTCCAAAACAGTTTCGTGAATCGTCTGGATCCTCACATGATATGTGCTTTGATGATAATTCAGCGCTCAATACCAACCCCTCTCAGAAAACAGGAAATGAAAATGAAGATGGAATCAACTGTGAGCAACCTCTCACCCATACTGTCAGTTTTTATCGCAAAACAAAACATGAAAATGAAGTAAGTGCATTATATTTGAATTGCTCCATGCCCAAATTTCGCATTCAAATTAAATTCCCGTTGAATGTGAAGTAATCTTCGGAGAAGAGAACGAAAGCAAAGTTGCAATGTTTGATAAAACACTTGAAAAATGAAATGAAAGAAATGCAGATAGCTCCTCAAAATAGTGTATCTCTCACATAGGAGAAAAAGCGCTAAGAAATGGCCCAAACTGCATGTAACAAGGTGGAGAATGCTGCCATGCTAAGCAAGAATGCTGTAAATCCATCAAGATTTTCCCTCGTTTTTTAGAACTTACCGCTTTATGAAATAAAAACCGTCTTACCCATGCTCCTTAAATTTTCAGCTTAAGTTCTTGATAGTATTTGCAAAAAAATTCTGTAAAAACATTGTCCGAAGGCTCACAAGTTTTTCTGCTACTACACGTTGTTCCCAGAAGATGTAAAACGGCGTTTTTGCGTTACACGGTGGAACGGTGCTGGGTCAAAACCATTTCATAGGGAAAACAAAGCCAAGATATTCCAAAAAATTTTCAAGTGGAGTAAAAAAATGTTTTTTTTTTTTGTTTATTCCTTGGTTATTTATTGGTAAATTTTTTTCTACATTAAATTCAGCCCATTTCCCAACTATTTTTCACTACCCGTCAAAAAAATTCGTAAAAAAGTCGAAATCGCTCTACCCTAAGGTGGCCATTTAATAGCCTCATAAGTTTAATAGTAATCAATCACATTAACCATTAAAGGTGTTAAAATCATTTAAGCTCAAACTTACATATGGACTGCATTTTGCAATTTGGAGCTATAAATTCTGGCTCATCTGAAAAAACATGTACGTGCATAGAGAAATTAATGGCACATACGTTGTTTTTAAACCGGGCTAGAATTTATAGTTCCAAATTGCAAAATGCAGTCCATATGGCCTTTGGACTGTTTTCCAAAAAAATGTGCGTGCTCTTCTCGTCTAGCTCAGTATATTTTCTCTGCTTAATTCGTCAGCTGATAATGGTTGTTCAATATTTTTATAGAAGCATGGGTCTTCACTTGTCAAGAAAGTAGTACATCAGAGCATCAGCTCAATAAGTTGTCAATCTTCCAAGAAGGACGAAGAGCTTGAGAGAGAAGCAGTAAGCAAAAAAATCGCTGAACTCCAGCTGAAGATCTCAGCCGAAGCTACAGCCATCGCTCAAGCCAATCAGGCCTTAAATTTGTGCTCCTCATTGGTCGAATTTCATGACTCTCCCGAGCAGATTGAGGCGGATCGACTTTTACTTCTTGCAAGTAAGCTACTTTTTAGAAATAACTCTTTTTATTTCTATACTCCTGCTCTAAGTTTTCAGCAAGGAAGTAGTATTTTTGAGACGAAGAGATTAAGGTAATTTGACCCGATTTCTGACTTGGTCGAAATAGCCTGCAATGTGTAGCAGAAATTAAGTAAAAAATCTCAGAAAGTTTTGAATTTTTAGCCAGAAAAGGGACGATAGCCCCTGCGCATAAGCCTCAAGAATCATTCTCAACCAAAAAATTAGCAAAATTCAGAGAAATAAAAGGAGGATGCTTTTTGGAAGGAAAAACCTCGCATTCAACACTGAAGACAATTGATGCATTGAATGCAAGGATTTTTTCCAAAATACATCCTGTTTTGATTCTAAAATAATGATCGAATTTTTAGAAAACAGTAAAATCTGTTGAATTAAAATTTCAAAATATTATAAAATTCACACTTTGATTTCTCTAAAATTTGCCAATTTTCTTATCAAAGGTGATTTTTTAAACTCATACGCAGGCACGCAAGGGCTATCGTCTTTTTTTGGCTAAAAATTCTAAATCTGCCGGGATTTTTTACTTAATTGATGCAATTTGTTGCAGGCCAGAAAACGGGACAAATTATCGTAAAAGAGCAGCCAAAGCTTCTAATTTTCTATAGTGTCACAGGATCCAGCAGTTTCTAAAGAAATGAGAATTTGCCTAGAATTTTCATTTGCACTGACCCAGAGCTCATCTCCATCAAGTCCAAATTTCAGGATTATTCTATGTCTTCTATGGACTGCGATTAATCAATTTTTTTCTTCTTTTTTGTTATAAATTGTTTACATAGGGCATAATAGTCAGGCAGTAGTTCACAGCTTCTACCTCCAGAAATTAATACTCGAGGATTGTATCGTCAGTGGTGTCAAAGGCATGCCTTCAAACTGTCTTTCTGAAACTAACCAATTTGTATCAATCACTAACCATTAACCAGTGACAATTTCCCCCGAAAATACATAAAAGGTGAGACAGGCCTTGTAAATTCGATACTGCCCTTGACCATCAACTTTTTGAATACGCAGCTCAAAGTTATTCCCTTTTTTTTCTTTTTTTGGGGGGATTTTAACTATCTGAGTCGGATTTGAGACAAAAGCAATAAAGGTATTTTGTCAAAAACCTGTCATTTTGAAAGAGAGGTATGGCTCTCTGAAGAGCAGCATTTAGCTACATAACCAAAGCGTTTTCAGTATGTTATCTCAGCAAGCATTTCGACGGTGTAAGTCAGCAATCGCATAACTCGGTTTGCGACGTCGCAGACTTCCTGTCATACTTTATTTTTTAAACGGAAAACCACTCAACGGAAATTCTTTAAATTGCCGTGATTTTTCTTCTCTGTGCGAAGAAAATTCTGCAAAAACTTCAAGGAATGATTTCAATTTGTTCTCCTTTAAAAAATTAACATAGAGGCGGAGATTTTCAGGCACCGCAAACGAGATATGTGATTGCCGACTCACACTGTCGATTTGTAGTTTGGAAGGAACATTTAAATTAAGTTTCAATATTATGTCCAGTATTTTTTACTTTTACTTGTGCCATTTTAAGCTTAAACCATTCTTTTACATCTGATGCAGTCTCATGTCTATATTTCCGAATAATTAAATATTTTACATCCATGGGCAGAATTAGGAACTTTCGATGGGGTGGGGAGGTTAGAAAGACACCAGTGTCAAGGGGCAGGATCTAGGGCATACCAAAAAACACCCCATCAAGGAGAAAAAATTGAACTCTCCCAACTCAACAGGGGGGTTTGGGGGATTTCCTCGACCTTAAAAGGGGTCCAGGAGGCCAGCGTAATTTGAAAAATTGAGTTGTTTCAGGAGCAATTTTGAAAAGTTATTCTTGCCTAAAAATTGATCTACTTGAATTTTGAAAGTAAAAAATCTGCCTTACACTCATTTATAAAAATTCCTTGAGCTTCCTGGGAGGGGCCAAGCCTCTTTGCCTGGGCCTTAAACTGTTCTGCCCATTTTTACATGGTTTCTTAAGGCAATTATTAAGCAGACATGGTCTCATTATTTTTAAAACTCTCTCTATCTTCTATCACAAAAATATAATTTTCTGTCCCAATTCAGCCCACAGGCGGCAAGCAGCGATGAATGAGGCTCAAAGATTGAAAGTTGAAGGAACGGTTAGACCAAGGAAACCAAACATGAATAACTTGCTGGATCAAGGATCGTTAACGGTATCAGAAATAACCCTGCCTGTTAAATTTGATGCCATACAGATAGCTGCAAGAGGTAAGAAATCTTCTTAAAAATTTAAATTTTCATTGGATTTTGAAAATTGTGTTAACATTGTCGTGCAATTTGGTACTCACTCGGTTTCATGTAAGCTGTTTAAGAACGCATTTATAAGGGCCCCCCCTCCCCAATAACATTCCCTCTGTGCCCCTTAGATCGTTCTACTTTCCCTTTTTTGGCTCCAAGTATGTAGTTTTTGTTCTTTCCAACTATTATTTCATTATTTGACCCATATTTGGAACTCTTTCCAGCCATTGCAAAGTTATTCAGTAAAGCATTTTAGGTGATATGAAAAGAATGTACCTATTACCTTAAATTCAAGCCTGCAGGGTAACAGGTACAAGTGTTGATCATTTTTATGAGGTAGATTTGTATGATGATTTGGATACAGTGGAGATGGAAGGTTTTGAATATTGTTCATTTTACTCTATACCTAGTCCATGATCTATGATACTTAACAGCATTTTTGCGCTTCCGTTTGAAACTTAGTGGGTATAGCCTAGTTACTCCTCACACAGTCCAGACCAGGGTGCAATGTATTCAAACAGGCTGCCTTATGGAAATACTGGGCGATCATAGGTGATTTTTCGAACCCACCAATATGTACCTCAAACAGTATGCATTCTATAGAAAATAGTCTAAAGACCAAAACTGCTGTAATTTAAAGGTAAATTGGACTTATTTATGCTAAAAAGAACTGTGTTGCATGCAAATCCTATGCACATAGTTTCTTTTAGCATGAACGCATCCAATTTCGCACAAGAAAGCAGTGACTCATTGAAAATCGATGTACCAAAAATGGATTTATTTATCAATACACTTAACATTTGAATCCGTGAGAAGGAGAACACACCAACTCGGAAACTTAAAAATGCTCAATTTCTATTAAAAAGAGTCACTTTTCATAAAGGTCACTGGAGTTAACGCATCTGCTCCAACTTGGACCTTTAAAGTGCCCTTAAGTACTCGTCTTTCAGTACCAAAAATCTTTTTCTTGTGGCAACTTCTTCAACTACTGCGCAGTTTCGCGCGTGTCTTGTTCATTTCATTTTATCAAGTTGGTATGTTTTTGTTCTCACTGATTCATTTAAGATCAATTCAGGAAGATTATTGTGTGGTATGTGGATATGCTAAAAAACGGTTTGATAAATGAATTTTTAGTATTTCAACGTCCAAAGTGCAAAGCTACGTACCTCTGTTTGTGACATCACACACTTCTTGGTCATGCTTATATTTTCTTGGGGAAAAGTAGTCAATGTAATCTCTTGAAAACTTTCTTGGTTTTCTTCTCTGTTAGCAAAATATTTTTTATGTAATTGAAGGTAGAAAGTTGGCTTGGTTCTCTACGTAAAAATAAAAGAGGAGCAGAAATTTTGAAACACCATAAGGGAGGTACTTCGTTTCGATTTTTGGCCGTAATCACTGCTCCATAACTTAATATCAATATAGTGCTTTATAATTTTTACTTATTCTCTTAATTCATGAATATGTGTGCGTACACACTGCTATAGTTAGCCGTGTGTTAGCAGTGGATCACCTATCGTGCTTTATAAAGAGTTCGTTTTTTGTTAATTTTTCAAAATGTGTCTTCTTCTCCCAGAGGAAATGTGCCATCATTTTGTCTGTTTACTGAAATGTGATGAAGTTGTTCTGGGAACATCAATGATGACTGCAACTATGGATAACGCACAGCAAACATCAAAAGGAATCGTTTACATGCAGTTCCCTAATAGCTTGACTTTTCCTAAGCTATACTCTGATTTTAAAGTGACCATAGAAATTTATGATTTGCTAGCGCGAAGTAAAGAAGCTGTTTCTCATGATGCAAAACATTTTAATTCCAATAAAAAGGTAAGCCTCAATTCCTATAATTCATCACATTAACATTGCATCAGAATGATCATGCAGAAGCTTACTCATGTTCAATAATTTTCTGGTGGGGGATATCTCTCCCCTCAAGGTCAAAGCAGTGAGGAAATGTGTTTATTGTAATGAAAAATATTCAGTATTAAATTTTTTCATTGAATTAAATTTAAAGAAGTTTCAAAGAAAGCACCAAAAATTTACAATCCTCCAAAAAATGGCAATTCAAGGAACCTTTTTTTTGTGAGTACTTGTACAAAAGTTCTCATATTAGCAAAAGTGAATTATGTCTACATCACAGTTCAAGTATGCATGTTTAGCAAGAAAAATTAACAATCATCTGCACGGAAAAGAAAAAAAACATACACAAAACCTCTGCCCTATCCACAGACAACAACCTGAGGGACAATACGCAGATATTTAAGCCAGTCGTTCCTACATCCGTGTAGAAAAGTATAGGATTTTCCCATTTTTTCTATTTTTTAACCGTAGCCCATTTTAAGCATTAAAACTACTCGTAGGGTCAAGCTTTTTGGCATGATGACGTTTAAGAAACTATTTTTATTTTTTGTTTCAATGAAAACCCCAGGGGCTTAGTAAATAATCGGTGTCTCTGAATCAACTGAACATTGATTAATTTATTTGCATCATGCATCCATTAGTCTTTCCCCCGATCCTACACTTTGTATTACAATCAGTCTCATGTTCTTAAAGTCCCGCGAACCCCTTTGCAGAGGCAGGCAAGAATACCCTTGAAGAGTCGAGGGAAAGAAATGATTCATGGAAGACCAGGAAAAGTCAGAAAATCTGAGCAGAGGGCCCCCAAAAATTGGTTCACAGGAACAGAGAATACGTATGTTTTGCATCACGTAGTATCAGCGTATTTCTTAGCCAGATTCAAAATATCTCACAAATCCATGGTAAAAGTAAAAATAATTCTCCCTCTTAGTGCTAAAGGATACACAAGCTTCCATTCATATCATTATCTTTATGGGTATACATATTATATTATCCCTTTGCTTTTTTTTTTTTAATTTGACTCATTGTCAATGCAGAATTTCACCAAAGAAGTCAGTAAAAAAACATCTAAATCAAGTATCCTCAACTTTCGTTAACTTTTTGCATAAAATTTTTCAGGATTTGCATAAATTCAGAATCACTCCGAAGAAGCAAAAAAATAACTCTAAATCAACTACCCTGGCTGTCCCACCTGTCCCTGGGGCTTCCTGCTCAAGAGCCTCCAGATTCACAATGGTTGGATATATTGTATTCTCTCTCCGTGAAGTTCAGCGAACTCAATTTACTTTGAACAAGGCAAGTTTTTAACTTATTTATTCCATATAATGGCATCGTCAACACACACTTCGTAAGAATTTCATATTTAACTAAATACTCTGCTTCCAATGCAAAGTATCCTTGCAACGAATTTTAGTTTCAAGACTTTACGGAATACAACCGTGAAATTGTGGCACAAAGCAGTCGCAAAGTGTGGAGCATGTAAGCTCAAAGATTCAGGTTGGTAGCCATTTGGGGTCGTGGCTGCACAATGAGTCTGTTGCATGCATGAGGTACAGATACACGAATAGAAGGCTTTTAAAAGTTAAAATCCGGTAAAAATGACGATGAGTAAATACAAATTATGTGAAGGAAAGTTTTAAATTCACACATCAATGTACAAGCACTTCCCAATTTCCTGTCTGCATGGGCACTTTTATTGGGGTTGCTGGTAACCAAGTCTACTTGGAAAGAAATGTAAAAAAACCTAACCTGAATATAAAAACAATCTTGCAAACTCTTATCAGTTTCTCTCACATGAAATTTCTGTTGTTTCAAAACATTTTTTTACCTTATATAGAAGCAGAAAAACAAAACATAAGTACTATAAATCGACCGAAATCGTACATGTGCGAGATTGGAAACAGCATGCAGCATTATTCGTATATAGAAGATAGGTTACTTTTTTAACATCTTTTTTTGGCGAACCTAATCGTCAGCAAGGAAGAAAAAGGTGCTTGCAGTTGCAAAAAATTTGAAAATGAAAGATACGCAGTGAATTCCTGACTTTTTTTTTGCTACTCAGTATTATTTTTGGGCAGTTTTTCCTGTGAAAAGTTTATTCATTTACCTGTATCACTTGTGCTCAACAGACCTATTAGAAAAATAAGAGTCAACAAAGAGTTCTAACTCTTGGCCAAAGAAAACCACACCTCACCCGTGAAAAGCGAGGTTTAGCAATATCTTCAGCCATTACAATCTCAAATGTAAATTTTTTCCTTCCATATTCCTAGGTTACTTACTCAAACCCTCTGGACGGAAAAGTACAGTTAAAATTAAGTTGCGAGTTATCGCCAACTGTCGAGCAACGAGGTTTCTTAACTATGTTTGAGGACGTTTCCGGTTTTGGGGCCTGGCATCGTCGTTGGTGTTTATTGAAAGGTGACAGTCTTTCGTATTGGAAGTATCCTGATGATGAACGAACCAAGGTACTGAAAGAAACATTTTTACCTTTCTAATTCAGAACATCCTAACCCACTTTCCACCATTTTCTAAGGTGCAATTTTAAAAATTAATCACAACTTCACAATTCTGGTGGCGAATACCTTCTTTTTGTGGCAAAAACCCCCTGTTAATTCAATTTCATCATAATCCGTCAGTGAACAACAGAGGTATTGATTTTCCGTCATATTGGACTTCGACCAGCTGGCATTTTTAGTATATATTGATCCTGTGGCTTTTGCTGAAAATTTAAATTTTTGTTGTTCTTTCCAACGAGGTGCCCTACAATGGGGGCGGGGCGCCCATTCAAAATTTGCAAGTTGGCCCTAGTCATCTGCCTTCCAAGGGGCAGGGGTTCATGAAAAAATTTGCCCATTTTTACTTGAGACAGTCTCGTTTAAACCATATTTTAATACATGCAACGATTCCTAAAATATTAACAAATATCACATTTTGCACACAGCTTATTGTGCCAATAATATGGTTTACAACTCCCTGAAAATCGGTTAAAAAATATTTCTTGCAATTTTTTCTCAATTTTCCAACCAATCTCTCTTCCCTGAATGCATACTTACCAAGATATTATTCCAAAAAAATGAGAATTGCCAAATTGTACTCCTATAATTTCACTCTCAAAACTGTCTTGAACTTTTTGACCTCAGCATGACTTAAAAATCATAAAATCATTAAGCTAATTGATAATTTTACTTGTTTCAGCTTCCCATCGACACTATAGATTTAAATACTTGCACGTCTCAATCGATAAGTGCTGTTAGTCGAGATATCTGTGCACGGCCAAATACCTTCTTACTGGAAACAATCAGACCAGCAAGGGATGAAGATGAAGACTCGTTGGTGTTGGTGAGACATGCTGCGCACACCATGGTTCGCCATCTTCTCTCCACTGATACCAAAGAAGAGAGGCTAGAATGGTGTGCGACTTTAAATAAGGCTCTAGATATAATTCGTGCATGGAGAAAGAAATAATTGTGATTTTTCTGATTAATTTAGTAATGCTCCAATTGTAAATTCCTTGAACATTTAGACAATCTTTCCTCAGTTTCTTTTCTATTTCAAACAAAACAACCATCTTTGTTATTTATCTCTTGTTTTGTATAATATGATACCTTATGGCCTATCATAGTCATCTGACCGAGCTGATCTCTTGAAACTCAGGAATATTTCAAATTTTTCCTTGAAAAATTCACTAATCATCACCTTCCGGTCAAGGTATTACAAGCTTCATTAGTGCTTAGGCACTATGGCGCCAAACTTCTCAAACTTGTCTAATTTAAAACTTTGTCTATTTAACTTACTTGTCTAATTTTGTCTAAAATAACCCAAAAACTGATGAGCAGAATCACTTGTAAATTATACCCAATATTTTTTATTAGCAAAATTAATCCATAAAATTTTCATGAAAGCATGTATAAAAGTTTTAAAGGAAAAAATTCAAATTAAATTGAGATGTCCTGCAATTTAGCATTCAATGGCAAATGGCGCTTGTGATACTTTGGCCGGAAAGGAAGGTGATGTAATGATGAGACTTCACTCAGTTCATATTGTGGTTCTGCCGTACTTTTTAGTTTCTTGGTGGGCAAATGCTACACTTAGAATCATCTTTTAGGTTTATTTTTTTCACAGTCATGAAAGAATGTTCCTTTATCTCATAAGTTTTTTTCTTTGTTTTAATGTTTGCCGAGTAAGTGCAGCACCCATAGCACCATTCACGTTTGCCTTTATCCTTCATACACTGTGTAACCATTAGTCATTTTTTGATTATATCAATTTTTTATGCTCAATCTTACATTTCTGCAATTCACAGTGCTCGTCACAGTAACATAATTCTTGATTAATTAGACTTCATTGGAATATTCGGAAATTTCAATGATCTGGTTTTTCTTTTATCTAAAGAAACTTTACATCTAAAATTATGTCTGAGCAATAACCTTAATCAGGGATAGTCCTAACTTTGATTTTAGCCCCTAATTTTTAAGTTGTGATGGTGTATCCCAAAGTTAGTTTTCCTATTTTATTTTTCAATAATAATGATAGCCACACAAAACCCTTGAAATATATTTCGGTGATCATACCCTCAGTTTAAACGAACCATAGTTTTTATATTTGGTTTCTGGGTAGCTGTGATATGTACTTAACTTTTCCGGCACCCACCTCTTTTCGCTGCAGATCTGATTGAATCCATTCCTAACTTACATGTTGGTAGCATTGTCAGGGCGCAAGAGCATGACATTGATTTTCTGAGACGCCAAGAACGTATTGTTTGTTGTTTACTTGCTGCTAGGAGAACCTATCCATGCAGAAAAGAACTTTCAGTCAAAAGAAAACGGCACAGACTTCTGAGTCAGACAGTTCTGCTTCTGTACGGCAAAGTTCAGCTGCATGCAGCTCAGCTTATTTCAGATTAGTTGGAAACTAAATTGTTAGGAAATTGTTCCCTATCTCTAATAATTCCAGATTATGCACCAAAGGACTTTCTTTTTTTCTGCACCTTAAATCAGATTTAGCATGTCAACACTTAGGCAGTAACATGGAGGTCATGGATTTTGTGAACAAAAGCCTTCAAAACTTTAAGAAGGAATTACTATTCACTGATGGAATAAAAGAAACTGGTTTCTTGCTTTTGAAATCATCCGATAAATGAATTTTTTTTTTTGTTCCGTCTAGAGTGCGTAACAGCCCCACTCAGAAATAAGACACGTGGCAACGCTTAGGATCAGAATCAGAAAATCAAATCTGCAGGAAAGAGATGAGAGCAATAAAAGTTAAATATCTTGGTAACCCAAGAGCCAAATTTTGAAAAGTATAGTGCCTCAGAGAGCTGTAATTATGACCAATGAAAGTCTTCTAATAACTTTCCTCTATCCGTCATGATTTTTGAAGTGTAAAATGCCGAAACTTACATCAGGGTGTACCCTCGAACGTACCTTAAGCGTATGTAAACTTCACCCATTTTAAATTGTTATGATATAAGCATGATTTGCCCAATTAAAAATGGTAAGTTGATATTATTGTGAAAACAGAGAACTCGAGTCCTTATTTACACTCAAAATATAATTTTCCACTTTACTTTTTATTACGGAAGCTTAGAAAAAATTTGACCTGAAATTTCATCAGTAAATCAAGATTTTACTGTAGACTTGCTTGTAACATACTCCTAGGATTTCTCAGCATCTTGTTTAGCGTTTAAACAACTATCTGTAGGTAATTTATCTATTCTTGAACTGTGATATTTTTCTACTTTACTTCACTGTACTATCTCTCCCCCTCTTGCCTCTTGGCTCCAGTATTATTTTTAAGGTCTTTCCTCAGTATCTCTTACAGAGAAATTTTTTCGTGCGGGGGCATCACTGCGGTATTTTTGGTTTTCTGGCTTGTGCCTTCAGAGTTTTTGCAGCTCACCATAAGTCTTTGAGCTGTTGTGAATATTAAAGCCCTCCTAAAACTGAAGAGTCATGTGTGAAAGCTATTGACACCAAAATTTATAAGTAGTATGTTCTTTGAAGCTTGAAAATTTAATTACAAAAAAAATTAAGGTTTAATGACCTCCAATGGATCGATCGTGAGCATTGAGCAAATACTATCTGCAACTACACTGACTTCTCTTAGCATCGCCACGATCTCTCTCACGATCAATGGATTCCCATGAGGAAAGACCGTAATCAATTTTTAGCCTTTACCATTGAACTTTCAAAGCTCGTTTTCGGTTCTCTGCTGCATTCTTGAGATATGATGCTAGAATTGATGACTCTCAGAATTTAATATTTTTATCATGATTTTAAAATAATTGCTGATTTCAGAATCGATTTTAGCAGCATTACTTAGTGGATTTTTTAAATGAATGCTGAAGATGGACCTTTAAACTGTATAGAGAATGGTGAAAGGTATCTGCTATGCTTGGACCTACCTCTAATCAATTTTTTGATCTAGAATCTTTACCATTTTATGATGATTATTACTTTTTATGATCTGTTTTTGATAAGTTTTATGGATTTTTTTTTCTCCTTTGCCTCTAAGTATGTAGATATAAAAAATTTTCATTAGTGAATTGTTTCAAAATATCATTTTCTGTTCTTCACTAGAGAAATCATTGCGTTTTTCTGTTCTAGGATCACATTATGATTATGAAACAATTATTGAAAGTCAAATAAGTTCGTTTTTCAATCGCAATGCATATTAAATTGTAACTACGGTGGTTGATAAATGATTTCTAAATGACAGTTTTGTATCCTTATTTTTTGAAGCAGTTGAAACCCCTTCAATTTTTTTTTAGCTGGAAAGAACAATTAAGTATTGTAAAGTTTCTATTTATTTCTTTCTTTTATTTTTTAATAATTTTTGTTCTGTATAATCATCTTTTTGTGAAGAGACGAGTTCTTACCTGTTTGCAACCAAACTATCCCCCTCCCTCTCCCCTCATCTTTTAAAGAAAAATAAACATGATTCATATTCGTGGAAAATTTGATTTTATTGATTTTTATATCCTCTATTTATTATAGAATAATGAAAATGGTGTAATGCAAAGTAATCTGAGAAACTTCATTTGAGTTTTGAACAATTTTACAATTGTTGATAACTGCTCCAGCAGGCTCATTATTGAAAGTTTACTCGTATAGCAGCTTGACAAGCTGTCAGAATGCGATGTATTGCATGGCCAAGTTAAGGCTATCATTTACTAATTTTCTCATCATAATGACATCGCATTAATCGGGCTGCAGGTATTATTTTACATGTAAATATTTCTGATGACAGAAAGAGGCACCTCTTTAATGTTTTGGGGGTCTTGCCAAAAGGCTTCTCAATGTGAGAGAGAAAAGTGAGTTCGTACATATTTCAAACTGAAAAGTTAACAGCATCTGGTGTATTCATCACGAAATAGTGGCAGAAGATTTACCGCCACTATAATTAGCTACCCTGATTCAGTTTAAGTACTTGTAAAGTTGAGGGTCTCCTTTTATTATGAAGAACATATTGATTGCTGAAGTATGAATCCACGTATCGCCGTTCGCAACATTGCAGACTTTCTGTCTTGCTTTATTTTATCTCATGAATTCCACAACATCATTTTTTTAAGATTTCTTTGAACGGTCCTCACTGTATGCAGAATATTCTGTCTATATTCCAAGCTTTGGCTTGTTTCTCTTTAGAAGAATATATTAGGAGCGGAACTTTTGAATTCAAATGACAACCAAGCAGCCAATCACGATGCGTCATAATTCATTGGTGGAGAAGTTCGCATTTTAACCGTTGAGAGCGCTGCGCGGAAAAGCTCTTGTTTTTATTTACTTTTCACGTTCTAGGTTATGTATCCTGAGAACTTTCCCTCTCCCTAGCCCCAGACTGTTTCTACAAATTTCAGTGATAATTTACTGTATGCATGCTCATGGCTCAGTTATATTATTGATGTGAGTGCCGTCTAGTGTTTCCAAAATTTGTTCAACTCTAAGTACAATCATTAATTTTCCTCATGCTGGGTAAGTACCTCAGTTACTCTTTATGAACCAACAACTTTGAGTAGGGCCAGTTCATCATATAATGTCGATTTATTATTGAATGCAGTTCTTGTTGGGTGGGATACCTCTTCTTTAAAGTTGCAAAACCCTGGTTCAGTGCAAATGTAGGTTAAACTGAGAAGGTGAATGATTAACCTCTTCCTAGGATAGTGTCTTAAAACACAAGAACAAACGCACGTACAACGAATTAGAAACTATAGACTGGGCGATCCTATGCTACGCTTATGGTGACTTTCGTGACATACGAGGAGCGACAATTATGTTAGTACTAGGATAGGGGCTTTCCACAGTTCCTGATGGGACTATTACTGAGTGAGGACCTACATCAAATGCAGAACCAACTGTTAGAAAATCTGTGTCCAGATATGATACCTAGCCATTCTTGTCATATCTGGCGTTACGCAGTAGAGTGACGCATTGCGTCGGTTGCGGCACACTCCTGCACTGACCTGCCTCTATTTTAACCCGACCGCCTGGCACCGAAGTCATTGCAGAGCTCTCGTAAAGAGCCCAGTTGTGAACTGTCTGCCAGTAAATACCTCATACTCAGTGTTGTGCTTTTTTCCTTTCCTTTCAGTATGAACCCGAAGGCGATCTGGCTACAACAATTCCCCCAATGATTTTACAATGAAAACCCTGCACAGCAGCACCCGCCGAAAGATTTTGATGAAACTCTAATAGATTTACAAAAAGTTTATCATCAGGACAAAGCCAAAAAATTAGCTCATTCTAACAAGTTTAAGGCGAAATATTTGCAATTGAAGTTAGACTATTTTCCACCCTGTCACAGCATGACGGAAGAATTTCAAGTCTCCTCTCCTTCGGTTGTTTGGCGTTTTCGATCAGATCTCGAGCTCGGTGATAGCTGCTGCCTGGAGGAGAGAGAGGGCTCCTTGGCCAAAGTGTTCAAGCAAGGAATTTTGAAGGAAAGGCGATGTGGAGCGCCCATTTACCTCCTTCAAACAGAAAATAGTCCAGGTGCAGTCGTGAATATCTCGGCTTCTACTCGTTAGAATGAGCTAATTTTTTGACTCTGTACTAATGATGAACTGTGATGAATGATGAACGATCTATCAAAGTTTCATCAAAATCTACCAGGAGCCTCTAAGCCCCCTTTTCTTTGTGAAGTTCTTTCAGTGTTGAATCATTTATTGTAAATACTCCCGTAAGATCCCGTGTTGTTGAGGCTACGACGAGAATAAGCCGTAAATGGACAGTTCCACTCCCCGCCTGGCTATCGAACGACCACTCCGTGCGTGTTACGTGTGTAAGCCACCACCAATCTACAGTTTCTAGATTATAGCACTCGTATCTAAAAGCTTGGTGGCCAAAAAAATGAACATGAAACTGAAATTGTGAACCGTGAAATTTTATTACTGACATATGTTTAGAACCTACATTTTATAAAGCAGCGATGTTTCACCATTTTGCAAGCGCAGTAATTGTGTCGGTTCCCTCCTGCTAATTGGGATCCAATTGCCAGATAGGAAGCTAATTTACTTTAGAAAGTATTGCTCTCCCATTCTATGTATCTAATGTGTAAAGTGCATTACATTTGTCTTCTTCTGTTTCAGATAAGCTCTCAAGCCATCGCAGATAGTGTAAATGAGTCATCCAGCCACTCCTATCAAACACCGATCTCAGCACAATGGGGATAGATCTTTCATCAGATTTATCAACAAAACAAATGATGAAGTTTGTGTTATTTGGCTCGATTTTGATGGAAACCCAGTCCCTTTTGCTTACCTGATCACGAAAGGGGCTTTTGTCGATATTGACACTTATGAAAACCATCCGTGGATGTTTGAAAATCCTAACAATGGGGATAGATTTGTGGTAGAAAAGTCTGAAGTATATTTTCCTGTATCATGGAAAACAGAATACAGGAAGATGAATCGTCCGCAGAGAGGTTGTTCCAGACAGCCGATCCAGCGGAAGAACCTTCTTATCACTTATCCTGTCGACTCTCTCAAAGATAGGGCTTTAAGAGTTATTCGCAATGTCCTGGAGAAACCTGAAGATAGTTTTAAGTTAGATATTCCTCATTCAATTCAAGCAGATGTTTATAAGTTAATGTTGAAAAAATCAAGGAATAGAAATCAGGCCACTCAAGACAGTCGCTCTTGAGAGTTTTTATTATTATTATTATTTTTTAAATTGAAATAGTGCGATTTGTGGTAGTTCTGTTACAGAATCTACAACGTATCTATTACAAGTACTCTACAATGCCAAATTGAGATGTCCTAATGACCCCATATTGTTTCATAGATTCCCCTCATTTTTAGATTTTTTAAGTATCAAATAGTGTAAAGTCAGGTCTGTCACCATATCTTATTTTAAACATTTGCGATATTTCATTTTGAATCGCCCAAGACTTTAAACCATGCCTTGTTCCTGTAAGAGACTGTTTCTGAAGAATTCATTTTAACTAGGGTCATTTATCTAGAAATTTCAATGATTTTCTCTTTCTCGGAAGGTGAAGGTACGGGTATTTTATAAGTCCCAAGGCAACTGGTTACGGGCAGCCAAGTTAGGAGTTCCTTTTCAGCTTCTATAAAATTTCACAGCACAACCTCTGGCATGGAAGGCAGACCTTGGTTCTTTTTTGTACGTATAATTGGTCATTTTTTTCGTCCAATCGTTAGAAAAGAATAGAAGAAAGTAATTTGTTGAAAGTTTAACGGGTACTCTTGCCTCTCCTCTCTATACATTCAATTGAAGAGCTTGGAGGACAAGGTGCATGAAAGCTGTTTTTTTAAAAAATTGAGATGATATGAGTTCTAATAAAACCAGTCTTAAAGCATATTCTCTGTAAAATTCTCTCCCAAATTCCAATTTTTAAGCATCAAAAAGTCAGTTTGAACTTTCTCTCCGCCATAAGGATCTATTTAATTTTGAAACTTCAAACACGCATTTCTCAAAATAGCAAAAACTGCACTTATGTGCCTTGTCCTCCAAGCCCCTACAGTTTCCAAGTCTCCAAGCCCCTACCGACAGTTTCTTCTTTGATCATCAGGGTTAGGGAGGAACTGTTAGGGTTTAGGGTGTATGAACACAATTGATCCTTTTGACTTAGAATCATTCCCTGAGTTTTATTCCACTGCAGCTGTTGCTAGAGACCTTGGACCAGCAGACCAACTTTTGAAACCAGTTGAAGCTCTGTCGGCAAGATAAGACAATGCAAAACCCTGTAGTTCTACCATGTATCATAAATATATGGTTGATGTCTTGTTGTGCTTACTCAAATTTCAGTAATAAATCTGCAGCAGTTGCAACATTTAGAGAGTTATACAGCTTCCTCAGTATTCGTGTGCATTTCTTGGCGCTGATAGCACTAATTGATTGTGATCATCATTTTCTTATTTTCAGAATTGTTTTGTTAAGTTTTGTGTTGTTTTGTAAATGAGCTTATTATGAAAACTTTATGTACAATTTTAATACAGAGTTGATAACTAAGAAATACTGTTGTTTGCCTATTTTATTCTAAAAATATAAACCATCTCTAATATGAAATAAAAAAAGCCCCCATTTTATGCCTCTGTTGAAAAAATAGCTAAGTATAATAGAAATATTTTATTCAAATCCTGTAATCGTCGGCTCAGAAACAGTTTCATGCAAAAGAGGGTGACATGTTCTAACATGAAGTCCCTACCTATGTCCAGTATCGATAAACAAATCACCCTTGAAACAACTCCGTGTAGGTATGGCTTAACATGTAAAACTAACAAGGCACATGGCATAGTTTCCTCCATGTTTAGAAAGTGATATCTGTTGAGAAACGAATTCGGTTGCTTGCATCATTGATTATTAAGTTCAAAGTGGAGGAAATTATGGTATGAACAGTTCTCATATGGATGATATATCGCGGGCTACAGGAACAATACCGCACAACTGCCAATATGTGCAGAAAATAATAAAAATGAAAATGGCGACCTTTTTTTTCATCCTGTAAAATCGTCAGTTTGCAGATAGGCAGTATTTCGGTATTGTTCCTTCGCCATCAATATGTATCGTACATTTTCTTTTCCGATAGGGCAAGATACTATGTGAAGTGAAGAGATACTATCATTCATCACATGCATTGTACAGGCACCTTCAAGCACTAAAGCATGACTCTAAAACTTGCACAACTGACCAATTTTAGGAAGACACCTAGGTAGGTATGATTAGCTTTCTTTATGAAAAGAACACCCCTTGTACGTTTCAACTTCTGGCAGTCAACTCTTTATTTTTCAGCAGAGAGTAAAAAATATCTCTCAAATAAAGAAATCGAACGATAAAAAGATTCTTTACACATAGTGTACGTAGACAGTTTTTCCTTACCGGAAAGAAAAGATGTTAAAAAAATGTGCAACAACTCTTGGATATTACCATTGGCACTGTGATGTTAAAGTAGCATTCTAGAATGAAGAGTAACATCCTAGGATGTTACTTTAACAACAAAGTGTTAATGACAACATCCAAGAGTTGTCGCACATTTTTTTAACGTCTATATCTGTGGTGTTACGACAGCGTTTTTTTTATCGGTGTACCTTCTGAGGGCGTTTTCTATCATAACGATCAGCAGTAATTTCTGCGGCAGGATTTTCCATAGAAGGCCCTCCACCATTTCTAGAACTCCAAATGTTCCACACAACGGTTATAAGATACAATTTTTATACATATTGAAAGTTAGGGTACAGGGTCAAAATTGAACGCTCAAAAACACCCGCTTTTGCTTTGCAATGCCCTGAGAAGCCTTGTGACTGAGAACGACAGGCCCCTGGAAAATGACCTGCTGAGTCGGCTTTTCTCATGTAGAATACTCCGTGAGTTCTTTGGAGCTCGTAACTGGTGAATAAGAGAGTGAGTCCTCAAAAACATATGTTTCTCAGCTCAGGAAGCTCCGGCGAGTCTTTAGACCCGGCGCAATCGATTCAACACGTCAAACTACATGGGATAAACCCCTTTTCTTGGAATTTTTTTCCCTGTCCAAAATTGAGAAAAAATTACAGGGCGGGTTACACAAACTATTTTGAGTCAAAATTGACATTCCTCAATTGGGCTGAAATGGAACTAGTTCTCTGTGAAATGAACTGCAAGTAGGATTCTCTGATCTCAATTACTTAACGAGTTCATTGGAGCTGGTACTGGCGAAGAGGAAGAATCCTCTAGAAAGGTCAAAAACACCCGTTTCTTGTCTCGGGAGCTCTTAAAGCGAGAAAAATGGACAGGGTAAGTTACATTGACTATATGCAGAAGTAATTAAAATTAATGAGAAAAAAAACTGTATTCCACAGCATACAACATTTTAAAAGAGGCGGTAAAAAATATTAAAATAGGTTAAAAACTAGTAAAATAAATTGTAAAACTAAAAACTTATCTTCTACTATGCACAAATCTCTAGTAAAAGAAACAAACTTATCATTTAGATAACAATTGGTACAGGGTTGACAATTAATATCACAGAAAGTTACTGAAAATCTTGATTGGCTAATTTATAAAAATATGACTCTTTGTTTTGGAGTAGTGTTTGCGGAGCATCAAATTCTTTGACACAACCGTCATCCAACACGAGGACCCTGAAAAAAGGAAAATCAGGCTTAATGATTCATTGTGGATAGTTAAAAAGCACCATTACAATTAGAGAAAAATGAGAAGTAAAAAAATAAAATGTGAGAACAAACTTGGATAAAATTTGACTCTGAAACTCCCAAACCATGTATCTCGCTTGCAGTGTTTAAATATCTCTGCTCCTGTTTTATTTTACAGAGGAGAGCAAATCAGCATCATTCCAAAGTTTGTTCAAAATTTGCTTTTGCACAGAGAAGAAAAATCATGGACATTTTCAATAACTGATATGGAGCAAAAAAAAAAAATCGGACAGGAAGTCTGCATTATCGCAAACAGGGATACGTGTCTTGGAAGTTTCATTGTCGGACTGCCATTATCATGCGGCTGTTGTGCACTTTTATCCAAATTGATCTATAGAAAGTACACATAAAAAAAATGAGAATGTTTGCATTCAGCTATTTTTCATTTGATCAAATTCTTTTGGCTGAGAAAAAGATTTCTCAGGTTGCCAAAATTCGACCCCATTTCAAATGGAATAACATCATGCCAACAGATTTTGTGACTCCACAAGGAGAGTTGGCCATCTTTTACCATTTTGTTGGCATTTATTGACTCGCTCTTAGGTCGCAATAGTAACAAGTAGTAATGTGTCATGAGCAGGCTTGCATTATTATTGTTAACTGAAGTGAATATTTGTACCGCTCTTTCACATGAAATCTTAAAATCATGATTTTAATCTTACAGCGGGAACGATGCATTGGATTCAAGGTGGTTGAAATGAAATGTGAATCGTCCCATCATATGCATCAACATGACACACATTGACAACAACACACACATTTTTGATGATGACAACATTTTTTTTACTTCCCGAACTTTAAACACAAACTTTCCAGTCAAGGATGCTATTTAAGTTCGGAAATGCATTTCTCGCAAAAAGTTACGTAGTATCGGTATGAGACACTTATTTGCATGCCAATTCCTGAATCATACAACAGAGGTCTTAACATCTTCAATCAATTTTGGCTAAAGCTTCAAAAATCTTCATTATGACACCTTAAGAGTGCGACATTACTCCTTATGTTCTACAATTTCAGAGATATTTGCTCCAATCGTCTTGTAATGAGGAAGAGGTCTCATGCATAAAGATGCTGATAATAAAGATTGAGCAACTCTACTCTAGAGTCTAAGTTAAATCCAAACTGTAAGACATGGTTACCTATCACTGTCCATTATTGTTGCAACGCGATGAGCAATCGTTATCACAGTACTTTGTCTAAATGAAGTCTGAATCGTCCCTTGGATGCAACGATCAGTCTCTTCATCTACGTTTGCAGTCGCTTCGTCAATGCATAAAACCTGACAACACAAAATAGGAAATTATAACTAATGAGGAATGTTCCAGAAAGGAAATCATGAAGACATGTGATAACCGTAAGTTTTCATCATAGCCCAAGAAGATTTGGGGAAGGAGCAAGGTGGTATGGGAGTGTAAATTCAAAGATAAGTTGCTTATTGTCAACCTAGTGCACTTACTTGATGGCCCCCAAAAAAAATTTAAACTGAAAAAATAGTCTTGGAACTGACGTGTCTGATGAAGAGATCCAAATGATTACTAAAATAATTAAAATAAACTTTGGTAAAAGGGTCCATGCTGATTTGAGGGGCTTGGAAGACAAATAAGGAAAGTGCAATTTTTGAAAAAATTGAGAGATTAATGATTTCGACTGAAACGAGTCTTAAAACATATTCTGTGAAAAATTCACTACTGAAATCTTATTTTTAAGCATAAAAAATTTAGTTTGAACTTCTTTTTTGCCATAAGGCTCCTTTGAATTTTGAGACTTTAAACATGTAGGTATTTCTTGAGATAGCAAAAACTGCACTTATCCTACTTGTCCTCCAAGCTTCTCATTCACACTCTTTCTGCCAGAACATAGATTTGAAACCCTCAGATGTGGGGTGTTTGGCGGGTGTCAAGTTTTTAACGAATAATTGGTTAATGGACCACTGGACAAGACTTGAATTTAAATATCCTCATAAATGTTTCCTGACCAAAATTCAACATAGGACTTCATTTGCACAATAAAAATTACTGAAATCAGTCCCTAGCCAAGATATTAACGTTTTTAGTTTTCATTAGTTGGAGGAATTTTGTCTACTTGAATCATACTGCGCACTACAACGGTTTCTGCAGTCTCCTTCATTGAGTTTTGTTCCTTTTCCACTTTGTGTTGAACAGCTGAGCTGAAGCACCAGGCTTGCGATTGTCATATTTTAATACCATGGAGACTGTTACGGTAATGTTTAGTGGGCGATTTGACTCACGTAGCCTTTAGTTTTTTCATGGGCGGGAGGGTTGAACTCGCGCATTGAAAAACGTTAAATATTTAAGAGTTCAGTAATTTTCGCTGCACAAATCGTATTCTGCATGAAAGATTGGTAAGATGATATGTATTAGAATCCTAAAATTAGCATCTTGTCTAAAAGTCCATCTAGGAGATATTTGACAAAGAAAGAGAGTTTACCTTTGCATTATGCAATACTGCTCTTACAAGGCAGAGCAGTTGCTTTTGTCCGGCTGAGAGAGTCACACCATTTTCTCCCAACTCTACAGAAAGTCCACCCAGTCTTTTTACAGTATTATGCAAGCAGCATCTTTGGAGAGCAGTCCATATTTCGGAGTCTTGATGCTCCGTCAAAGGGTCAATATTTTCTCGGATTGAGCCTGAGAAAATGAATGGATTCTGAGGAATGATTGCAAGTTGAGATCTAAAAAAAAAACACAAAAAAAACACAAAACAAAATCAAAACAAACAGTAAGTATATGTAATCTACATTTAGCATGTGATCAAATTGAAAACATATTCCTCAATGATGGAAGGCCACTACGAACACCCCATTTGCAATTAATTTTACAAGACTTTCAGGAGACTCATTTCACTCCACCTTAATATAGTGAGAAAAATTTTTTTCCATCAGATTTCCAAAGTCTATCTAACTCAATTTAGAAAACCCAGCTTCACCTAAGTTTGAGCAGAATGAATAACAATACTTGTTCTCATAAGTTAAGGTAAAAATTCACAGAAATATCAGGCTTTAAAGAAGACAGTGATTAACATAAGTTTATTGTGCTTTTCAAAAGAGAAAAACCTTGTTCTAAGTTTAAAACAAATGCGATTCTTATATGTATGTGGACAACTAGCCAATGAGAGAATAAAGGTGAGTAGAAAAAATGCAAGACTTACCTCAACTGCTTTAAGGAGAGTTTTGCAATATTAACGGCATCAATGACAATCTTTCCACTGGTTAATTCTACCATGCGGAAGAGGGCAACAAATAAGGAACTTTTTCCAGACCCAGTCCGGCCAACAACACCAATCTTTTCAGCTGGTCGAGTCTCAAAGCAAATATCTTTTAAAGATGGCACCAGGTGCTCCCTAAAATAATCAAACCATTCATAGAAAAATCACACACAAGCATTAGACATTAAATTCAAATCATAAAAATTACCATTACCTGTAGTCAAGAGTCGAGGAAATATCACTAACAATTTTGGGAAAATCGAGTACCTCAGTTGTATTCTTGACATGTTTAGGAAATACGCTTAATGGAGCTGTAACGTCATTTCCCTCGATTTCTTGAATCGGTAAAATTATAGTACGGCTTTTTGTGCCTTGACTAAGAATATGAGCCAACCATTTCATTCAATTCAATTTTTACAGTAGCAATTCTATTTTTTTGAAAATGAGATTTGTAGATTCCCAAAGTAAAATTTTCCATGATCGTTTCTGTTTTTGCCTCATAAAAATCCACAGCTTAACTTTCGCTATTGCTATCTGCTTCATATATTTTAAATCCTCAAAATCTGGAACTTTATTTTGTGTACAGTCACCTACAGTGGATCTAGTTGCGATATAAAAAGAAGTTGGAATTGAGGACACCAGAGATTCTTGCTAAGATATTTTAAGAACTAAAAAAGGTACCTGATGACTGGTGGTCCTCATTATTTGAGAAAAAGAGGGAAAATAAACAGAAAGTTTAAAGAAACGAAACAACAATGATGAAGTAATAATAAAGTCCCCAATGAATGTGAATGAGGTAAACATTGAAAATACTGATACATTTGATAGCATGCATTTGACAGAGAGATTAGTCACCACCAGAATAGGACATATGTAAATTAATATGGATAAGGTACCTATATCTCAATTCAGCATGATGAAATCCAACAACTCCTAAACTTGGCCAGCCATATGGGGCAGAGGAGGGATACCTCCATTTTCTCTCGCGTTTAACACTCTTGATGTACTGGGACACTCGTTCAACAGAAATTAGTTCCATTTCAGTCTCCGTAAAAACATTCAGAACATTGCTGACAAGGCCAGTCAAAGTTAAAGCAGAAGATATTGCCAGTCCAACCAATCCTAAATTAATTAAAGTGAAATTGATTAGTCCAGGGCACAGCAGCTGTTTGTTTTTTGTTTTCTATTTGCAGTAATAAGGCTGATGCTCATATTTTTCCTAAATCAATTTTGGAAAATGCCAAAAAAATAAGAGAAAAAAGTTAACTTGTTTTTCATTCAACATGTAAAATACCAGCTGAAGAATCGACAAAGTTGTACACAAACAAGTTGTGCTACATTGCATATATTAGCGGTAAAACAAGTTCTACTGCGGCAAAATCAGTTTTTCTGAGAGGGACCGGCAGAACTCAGAGAAACTTTCGGACATTATTGGTCATAAAAATGTAATTGGTCCTGCTTTTCAAAACTACATCTGCTATTTAAAAAAAAAAAAAAAAAAAAAAAAAAAAAAAAAAAACACCAATAAAAAAACAGCAAAATCTGTTTTAACTGCTACTTCTGGGTAAAACCAAGTCTTTAGGTTTCGAGTCTGACAAAAATAAAGACGTGAGGAACCTGTGGAAAAATTAGGTGTGGAAGATGCTGGGAAGATGGCGTTGAATTTAAATATATTCACGCTAAAAGGAACTATGTTGCACACAAACTCTTTGCACATAATTCTTTCTAGCATAAATACGTCTAATTTAAATAGGTTTGTGATTTTTGGTTTACAGGGATATTTTAAACATGGCGCTAATGGACTTGAGATAATTAGTGAGAGGAGGAATAGTACCTGGGTTTGCAGTATCGAAATGGTGCTGTAATATGGCAATGAATCCAGTTCCAATGATCATTGCAATGCTCATTAACTGGAGTCTAAGCTGAAGCCAGGCAGAAATCGATGCACTGGCAAATTGTGTCTTTTGATTATTTTCCAATTTAAATTCATTTTCTCTTCGGAACCTGGTAAAAAATTATCGCAAATTTGAGACAGCAGAAATATAGAAATGTATACTATAGGAACTTCAATTGGGTTGATTGCATTAGAAAGAGGGGGTACAACTCGCTTAAATCATCTGAAAATTGAAAAAAAAGTTAGAGATTTCTTTGAAACTTGTAACGGAGCATGAATTTTCGTTTCCAAAATATACATCAGTATCTCTCCGGTCAAAGTCATCAAAGTCACTATTTTTGGCCACAAAAATGTAATCTGGTTCTGTCTTGATGAAAAATGCTCAGTATGTGATGACCCCAACTAACAAGCACCAACAACTCATTGTGTTCCCATTGTGTTGAGACTATTTTTTTACAGAAAAGCGATAAATTATAGATTCTTCATCCAGATGGATTAAAAGGTTCATTTCGTGATGTCCGCAGTGCTTGATTACAACTCATTTTGGAGCTATATTATTAGAACATTTCCTGTGGCTAAACTGCAGACTTCCAAATTTTTCTAACGGAAAAAGTGAAAAGTCATGGTACATTCTTTATTAAATATTTTCCTTAGGCTCATATTTAGATACAACAGAAAAGGGCCATATATAAAATCAGGCTTTATCTTAAGAAATGGATGACTCACCGTGGTAGAGCTCTGAATGCTCTTATAGTAGATAGTCCTGCTAATGTTTCACTAAAATGACTATAAACTGGGGACAAAGTTGTAGTAGATAGTCGTTTCAGTTCTCTTGATGCTAAGCGATAACTGTTCTGCAGCCATAGGTATATGGGGATAAGCGGGGCTAGGATCAAACACAGCCATGGTAAACTGTACACAGTTAGAGTTAAGGCACCTGCAGAATAACAGAACACTTGATTACTGGGGCTACTTTGTAAAAAGTGAACGTGTATCCTTCAATTATATAACTAGATGGGGCTTTGGCCATTGTGTTAAGCTTGCTGAGTTGCTACATTTTGCAAGGTTATTACCGAGTCCATTATCGATTTCTTTTCTATTTTTTATCACATACATGCATAAATAGCTGATACAAATTTTGAGTAGCGCAAACATACACATTAAGATAGAGGAGAAATTTTTAAACAAGGCTGGAGACGAAATAACATAAAAGCGTATAATTTACAAATACATGCCTTTGCGCTGATTAGAAATCAGCAGGCAAAGTTTTTTGTTTGGTTCAGCAAATAAAAAACTTGACTGACAAGGCTGCTCGCATAAATTTAATAGCTGTTCATTCACGCTCTTGTCATTTCTCGAGATGGAGTTGTGCCCCCTACATATCCAGTTGCTCGCTACAAGAGTAACAATCAGCTTGCTCCACAAGGCCATTGTTTAAGCAGTTGGACGATTGAACATTATATTTTGGTGAATCTTAAGATAAAATGGTACCATCACATGCGCTTGTGACACAAGCATACCATAATTTGTACATTTATAAACACATGGAGATGTGACATTAAAAGGGATTGATCTTTCCTTAAAAACGCATTTAAATGAGACATTGATCTCATCTGGTGGCAGGTAGTCACAACTGTGGATCTCCTTCTGCAAATTGACTCACTGTAATAGCAAAAGCACACCTTCACTTCTCAGATTAGCGGTGACCGGACAGTCTAAAGATTTGCTTAACAATATTATAGTTAGGGCTCCAAATCTTCAAGGATCTCCTTGTATTATTTCCTTGTAGTTTTATAGCATATAAATTTCTCTAAATTATTATCATTATTTTTTTTTTAATTCATTCTGACTACGTGCATAATAATATCCTTTTTTTTTTGGATATTCATGTAAAAAAAGATTATTATTTATTCTTTGCCGATTTTTGATCAAATAAAAAATTGAGGTGGGAAAAGAAGGGAGTCAAGGGGTGCCTAACATGTACCTGACAATGAGGGGAGGAAGGGTGAAGTTCAATCTGACGTTAGGCTAGAATTAGTGCAAGGCACCCCTGTTTCAGAAAATTTCGATCGAAAATGACAAGAAACATACTCTTTAAAAGTACCCCTGTGGGAACATTCATTGTAACCATTTTGAGAAGAAAACTATTTTTACCTAATAACAGCAAAAGAGACTCACCTAGAAGAGAAAATGTTGCTGCCAAAAATATATTCAAAATAAAAGGCAATGAATCATCAATTGTATACACATCTGAGGAAAATCTATTAAGAATCCTGCCGAGAGGATTGAGATCAAAAAATTCCGTTCTGGCCTGAAATTGAAACAAAGCACATTCAAATTTAATTAAAGTGTACAATTAATTTGTAGTAATCATTGTGCACAGACATATGTTGACTTGTGTACGGCTACTAAGCATATTTTTGTTTCAATTAAAAACAGTTGCATCTCTCATCTGATTAACTAGCGATATGACATTTTTATATTCTTGAAGTTACATTTTTCACCAGAGCTCGATGAAGATCAGCAAGAAAAATTGGTCTCCTCATAAACTGGTAAAAGTTCCAAGCCACCACTCTAAATTGAAATTAGGATATAAGGATAAAAATAAACCCAACAATTTTGGTTCCAAACATCTACTATGATTATAAAATAGGATGATTTCTGGGAATTCCATTACTGATACAGGAGGTGGGGACATGGCGACAGGAGATAGTTTGGATGAAAATGAGTTTTCTCATGGGCTTCTTGGCCTATTTTCAAAACTTTGAAAATTTTCTAAAGCTGAAAGAATGCCTGACTCTTGCCCTTATACCGATTTGGTTTTGAAAGCAACTTCCTTTTGTTTGGGAGATATAAAATGAGGAGATTTATTTCTGGATGACACTCCTAATAGCAAAACGTGTAATGAAGTTATAATACGAATAATAGTTAAAATACCTTCATGATAGTAGAAAATAGCTCAGCATGGATTTTGGAAGCTGCTTTTACCCCACCATAGGCAAAAGAAAAAGCGCGTAACAGGGCAATGATGCAATTGGCACCGCAGAGAGACACATAAACAGTTAAATAATAAGAGAATCTATGCTTGGCCTCCAAGATCAAATACTCAACTGTAAAAGGAGAAAAAATAATTTAAAAATTGCTAAAAAGGTATAACATAGCAGGGACCAAAAGAGCCACTCAATCAAGAGCACACTCCACGGTGCGTTTTAAACAATTTTAATGCGGTCAACATACCACCCGCGATTTTTTTGCGGAAATGTCAACTAGAAGGCCTACTGATTGAGGAACAACAAACCGCGAAATCTGTGATGGGGCCGTTTTTGAGAAAATGCGATTTTTCGCTTTTTTGGCGGGAATTTCGGGTCAAGGCGCTGAAAAAGTCAAGTTAGGCTGTTTTTGTAGTTCGTAAATGCATATCCTATACATTTTGAGTCAATCAAGTGCCAGTAGATAGCTATTCGTGCATATTGCCCAAAATTCATATCCTTAAATCCACGACTTTTGGGTTTTTGGGGGGTTAGTCAAGGAGAAATCCGAAAAAAATAGGGTTAACATGGAACAAATTGCTTAACAAACTTTTCCTACGTAAACTTCTTCAGTAGGTCCTATTGAAGAACATACCAAAAGTTTACCACGGTTCGCTCCCGGAACACACCCCCAAATTGCCTAAATTTCAAAATGGCGGCCATAATAAGGCCTCTGGGAGTTCGATTTTTTTAAAAATACGCATACAGTGTCATGTGAGGTGTCAATTCCTATGTAATTTTGGTCGTAGATTTCAAATATGAAGTCAAAAAAGTCCCTTGATCAAAAGGGGGTACCCCAAATCCAAGATGGCAGCCAATTTTGAAAGTCAAGAGGGTGGATTTTTAAAAAGTTCGCGTGATAAGGCAAGTGAGGTATCATTTCTTATGTAATTTTGGTCGTAGATTTCATTTATGAAGTCATAAAAGCCCTCAAGTCAAAGGGATTGCTCCAAATGCCAAGATGGCGGCCAGCTTTGAAAGGCAGGAGGGTGAATTTTTGAAATGTTTACGTGACATCCCTAGTAAATAGAATCAACCTGACGTCAGGGTATGTTTCATAAACTACCCTGAGTCAGATTGATATCAGCCTGAATTAGTCTGACTCAGGGTAGTTTATGAAACGTCAGGTTGATTCTATTTACTAGGGATGTCACGTAAACATTTCAAAAATTCACCCTGCTGCCTTTCAAAGCTGGCCGCCATCTTGGCATTTGGAGCAATCCCTTTGACTTGAGGGCTTTTATGACTTCATAAATGAAATCTACGACCAAAATTACATAAGAAATGATACCTCACTTGCCTTATCACGCGAACTTTTTAAAAATCCACCCTCTTGACTTTCAAAATTGGCTGCCATCTTGGATTTGGGGTACCCCCTTTTGATCAAGGGACTTTTTTGACTTCATATTTGAAATCTACGACCAAAATTACATAGGAATTGACACCTCACATGACACTGTATGCGTATTTTTAAAAAAATCGAACTCCCAGAGGCCTTATTATGGCCGCCATTTTGAAATTTAGGCAATTTGGGGGTGTGTTCCGGGAGCGAACCGTGGTAAACTTTTGGTATGTTCTTCAATAGGACCTACTGAAGAAGTTTACGTAGGAAATGTTTGTTAAGCAATTTGTTCCATGTTAACCCTATTTTTTCGGATTTCTCCTTGACTAACCCCCCAAAAACCCAAAAGTCGTGGATTTAAGGATATGAATTTTGGGCAATACGCACGAATAGCTATCTACTGGCACTTGATTGACTCAAAATGTATAGGATATGCATTTACGAACTACAAAAACAGCCTAACTTGACTTTTTCAGCGCCTTGACCCGAAATTCCCGCCAAAAAAGCGAAAAATCGCATTTTCTCAAAAACGGCCCCATCACAGATTTCGCGGTTTGTTATTCCTCAATCAGTAGGCCTTCTAGTTGACATTTCCGCAAAAAAATCGCGGGTGGTATGTTGACCGCATTAAAATTGTTTAAAACGCACCGTGACTCGTAAGCCCTTCAGTGCAATGATGAGTGCTGTGAAATAATGACCTTTGTCTAATTTACTTTTTGAAGGCATATTTTTTTTTTTTTTGGTGATTGGACACACGAATTCGTTTGGTCATCAATTTAAGCTTCAGTTTTAGGGAATCATTGAGATACTAGACAGAGATTAAAGTGTGACACTTTGCCCTGTAGAAGTCTTTGACAGTGATTTGATTCAAAGTTCTGTTCTTGTTTGAAAAGTGCATAATATGAATAAATCTAACCTATTATGTATGTGACCAGATCTGTAAAATGAAACTTTATCTTTCAAAAAGTTTTTGGTAACATTGCATAGAGAACAAATCTGGAAATTTTGGTGCAAGTTTGACCTTAAAAACCCAAGAGTAGAGGGAGGTATAGCGTCTTGAAGTTCTAAGACAAAAATGATCAAATTTAAGGTTAATTTTGATTAAAAATTCTGATACGTACACAGAAAGGAAGAAACAAGCGCTCTTTGTTACAAGGGAACTACTCATTCATTTTCTTTAAACTTCCTCAGTTTTTTTGATACTTCCTTCCTTAATAATTTATTTGTACTTACGATTAAAATAATTGTCAGCATCATTGCCAAAATACTCCTCTGATAAAATGTATTCAGTAGACATTTGATCATAACTTGCATTTACAACTGAGGTATTTCCTTCATTTGTCACCCAATATGCAAGCCAGAAATCAGTGCTGTTACGTAGAACCTGATACAAGAAATTGTTGTCAAATGTACTAATAAAAACAAAAACTGTTCATGTAAACTTTTAATTGAAAACACTTCTTACAGGAGAGAAAAAGAGGAAAAAGGAACAACATGAATTTTATTTTATTTTATTTTTTTTTTTGCATGTTTTTCAAACAGCATGCAAGTTTAGCAGCATTCGTAGTATTCTTAAAAAATAATTTATGCAGACAATAACCTGCGGTTTTCTCTTTGCCTTCAACCTAACCCTACCTTTAGAACCACAACAAGCCAGAATCTACTACGGCTTTTCTGCCAGGTTTCTCTCACTATTTGGAGCAGCAAAGAGGGACACAGCAATCTTTCATCACTTCACACCATTTTCCTAGTATGCTAATGTGCTATTCATTTTTTTTTTTAACAAAAAATACTGTACATACGAAGTTTTATTCTATTATGACAGGAAAAATATTTTCCTCTTCAAAAAAGAAAGGAAAGATATTCAAAACTCAAAGGTTTAGAATATAGGTATGGAACATACTTACCTGATTGATACTTAAGAATGAGAATATTTAAAAGTACTTTTACTCAAAAGTAGTCAAAAGCCTCATACAAATAGAAGGACCTTAAAAAAAGCGCCACAAACCTGTTAAAGTCAGATTAGCAAGACTTAGGCAAGAGGCAATTTACTGGACATAACTTACTAACGACTCAATCATTATCTATCCTTAAGTTAATTATGAATTAATTCTAAAAAACAATATCTGTGGTGGCTGTACAGAGCTTTAACATCAGATTTCGGGCAATTAACAATGCAAAATGATAAAATGCAAATCGACTTAATTTCTTTAAAACTTCCTTGATTTTTCTTCTCTATGAGCAGAATATCCGGTTGAGACTTCTAGCTATACAGTTGACTTGTCATTCTACGAAAAATAAAATAGGAGCAGAGATTTTGAAACACCGCAATAGAGTTACATGGTTTCGTATTTTAGCCATCAATATGATTCCTTAATTTAGCAACTGATACATCATCATTGTTTATTCTGATTTGTGTATAAAAGGAAGAATTTTAAGATATGGGCAAGATAACTATAAAAAGGCTGCTTACCTGCATACATAGTATGGAGAGGAGAATCAGCAAAGCCAATGTATGACCTATGGCTTTCCAGTACCTAGCGTAGACAGAAAATGCAAGACCACCGATCTCAGACACTTCACCTTCCAAGTGTTCTGGTGGTAATTGGACTCGCTTGATGACATCTTTATGCTCTCTACTGGAACTTGAGGCATCAGAGGGATCTCTAAAACTACTTGAAGATAGCAAGTGCTCCTCATAATCAGGTAGAACCTCAGATGGTTTACCTGGAGAAAAAGAAAAAAAGTGGCTGCGATATAATGAAGAATCTATCAAAAGTACATCAGTCTCAGTTTCAATAATCTAATTCATCTCAAGCAGCAATTTAGTTTACATGTAAGAGGAAACAAGCTGAAAGATTTACAGTTAGAAAGGGATGGTATTTGTGAGATCAAGTGAAGAAATTACCCTTAGTTCAAGGCAGAGAAAACAAAACGTGACCTCAAATTAAGGAGTCAAGAACACGTGAGACACACAAGGATAGAATCAGTTGTGGTGGAATACTTTTGGAACAAAAAAATTATATGGATTTCACCCCTGCACTGCAAAGTCGATACGGGAGGTCTACCACTCGTCTCAGGACAGGTAACCATGAGAAGCGATAGCCAGGATGCTCCTTAGTCTTCCTGAACCGTTGTCACGGATATCTGATAAGCGAACTGCACAGATGATGACATACTTCTGAGTTCGGTTGCAGTCTACGGTCTGAATTAATAGGATCATCATGGATTTGGCTGTGTTGACAGACCAAAGCAGAGACATCAAATTTCTGGTCAAGTGCGAGGAAAATGCTCAAAAAATACTTCAACTCATTTTCATGGAGGAGAACATGTGACAAAATGCTCTCTTTGCATCTCCGTCAAGACATTCCGCACACTTTACAAAACTGCAAACCTTCCGTTCAAATTATATATACTGTCTCAGCACTAATATGAGCTTCATTAATTATTTCTTGAACTCTCACTTGAGCATCAACAAGACACAATGCCTTTAGTGTTATGCATCAACACAATTTCTCGCTAGCAATACTCTTTTTTTGGCACTCAAAACAAGCAAGAGCGCCTCTCTTGTATCATCAATGACACTTTCCTGACAACATGAGCCATTTTATCCACTCATGCATTGTGGTCTTTCGGATTGGGTCATTACCATATTACCATATGCTACCTTCAGCACATCAACAAATTCCTAGGATAATTTCCCCTACTTAACAAGAAATTTGATGTTTATGCATTGATCTCTTAGCGCAGTTGAATCCATGATTACAATGAATTCGACCACAAGCTGCAAAAGCGCTTGGACGTATGTTCTCATTGATGCAGCTCACTTATCAGATATTGGTGACAATTTTTTGGGTAGACTCAGTAGCAAGGGCTGATGAGTTCCTGGTTTATCAGATCCGAACACGACGTAAACTCACCATGGGAGTCTTTACCGCAGACTTTTCAAACTGATCGTGTGCTTAAAGAGGACAAACGTAAAAGAGGACTGGCATGCTGGGAAGAAATTTACACACATAGGAACGGGAACATCACTTTTAGTCAAGAATCCAACACACACAGTACATTATTCAGAGCACTTGACAGCAGCACAAACAGGGCAGAAAAGGAAAAGTTGAAGAAATTGAATCAGTCGTGTGATCCTGATGATGACTGTGTCCTCATAAAACGTGTCCTTATAGTTTTTTTTATGTAAAGAGCAAGTTAATTTTAGTATTTGTTGTATTTAATTTTGAAAATTTCTTGTTCACTTTTTCAGTTCTTAATGCTAATACGTAACAGGTACTATTAAGCAATCATAATTATGATTGGAAATACAACAAACTCTTTTACAGTTTAACAAGGATGAAGGATACTTGGCATATGTTGATGATAACGCATATTTTGTTGCCGATTACAGCCAGGTAAGAGTGAAATTAATTTCTATGAAAGAGAGATGGAAAATTAAAGATGCATTGTTTGCAAACATTTTTTGAAGCAAACAAGTCTCTTTTCTGACAAATTCTACCCAATGGCAAAAAAAACTTTATGACATCCATCAACAAATTAAGTAACTGAATTCATGATGAGACCAATATCATTTCATCGAAAATATCATTGAAAAGATTGCTACCATTACGAGTTACGAGTTCAACTACAGATGTTTTGTGCCTATATGAGGTTCATTGGAATCCCCTTGGCAGTCCCCCAAAGGGATTTCTCACTCCATCAAAATCATTTGTTTTTCATAGACACATCAGTAAAATCACTCTTGATCTTTCATGCCAACATTATTTGCCTCATATTGTCAACACAGATTGTTGCAGTTTTTTTCCGGTGGTTCCAATGCAAAGTCTGCTGTCAGGACATTCAATTCTGAGGTGCAAGTCCACTCCTTAGAGAACCTCTCATTGTAAGAAAAGAGAGTTTCAGCTCTCATTGCAAGAAAAGAGTGCTTCAGCATTCCAAGTATTTTACTGGCAAAAATGTGTTCAAAACTCTGTGTAGTCAAAGCAAATTGGGTGGTGAACAAGTTGCAATTATTCTGGCTCAGAGAAACACAATCTAAGAAACAAGGATGTATGCATGCCGTTTAGCATGATAGCTCTCACTTACTCTTACACAGTTAGAAATTCCCGTGTTTTGTGTTTCCTTAACACATTCCTCTGCACGTCCAAACAAATAGAAATCACAAAAAAATGACGAAGAGGTAGGAGAAGATCATGAAGATACCTAGGATAGGTATTTATCCATTTCATTTTAGGCTAACTTAATGGAGTAAACTTAAATGGGTAAGATTTTATATTTTATCTACTTTAATAAAACTATTTCCACTGATTTTGTTTATATTTTTTTTATTTATTTCAAGATTTTATTTCATTATGGTTAGTTCAGCAGTTTTTGGTTATCTAATGGGGCTAAATAATTGTGTTATTCAAAAAATAATAGGTTCTTCTTCTATAGTCAATATTTGTTGAATTATTTACAAATTCAGAATTAGATTAAACTCGTTTTTTTTTTATACGTATAAGTTACAAATGTATACTTTGATGATAAATTAATCTATTAAATAAATACAGTGTTTTTTATATTAATCAATTTAAACTTAGCCGGATAGATTTGCTTAAAAAGTTAATAGTATTAGTTATCTTGACATTTGTGGGGCTAATTTAGAGGAGGAATAAAGGATTTTTTAGTTATGGGTTATCAATGAAATCTGAGACCAAAGCATTGAAATCATATTGAAATTTTGATTAGGTAGAATAGTTGCTTTGACGATGAATCAGTGGATATTTCGTAATGAGGAGGGAGAAAAATAGGCAGCAGAACTTGCTAGATGTATCTTCAGTCAAGTTGACACTTGTTTACAGTCTGCTTGCAAGCGATTGCTATGCAATCGTCCAATGGCGATTGAGGATTGACTGCGGCCCGATCATGAGCATTGTCAATCCTTGATCTCTATTGGATGACTGTATCACGGTCACTTGCAAATGGAATGTAAACAAGGGCTTACTTAGATGACGACACCTCCAACTTACTAAATTTTCACCAAGATGGAGTAAACTGTATTGTTGCGAGTTAGTTACGTGAGTTTAAAGCTTAGAAATCATAATTTTTTGTACCCTTCCCTGATTAAGAGATTTTTTCCCTTTCATTAATTTCGTTTTTCCCTTGAGAAAAAACTGCAATAAATTTCATAGATACGATAAATTTTGTTTCAGTATAGGAGTGATAAGTTGACAAAATTACCTTCTTTTTCGATTCTCCCATTTTTCAAAAATATTATACGATCAGCAGATAGTAAATATTGTGTTTGATGAGTGACTAGAATTCGTGTTTTATTCTTGAGCAGTCCATTAATGACATGTTGATAAATGTGTAATGCAACATGATTGTCAACAGCAGATAGAACATCATCTAGGAGGTACAACAGCTTGTCCTAAAATTAGAGACAGAAGCCATAAGACATCAGAGGCGCAAAGCTTTTTACATCAAATAATAATTAGTAATATGTGTATGTCTATGTAATTCAGAAACTGATTACAAAGAACTTCAAAATTTACTGTCACACTATCTGTCACGGTGTTCTGGGTGCATTTTCCCTTCAACGCCACAGGTTTTTTCTCCTCCCCTCAAAAAAATTAAAATTCAGAGGTGCATTCTTCCACTGGAGCCATATCGGTCGTGAACCATAAGCTCATACACATAAACGGATCTCCTGACCGTTGGCCTCATGGAAATGTTCATGAGAGCGACTGCACTCTCGTCCAAACAACACGCATATCGCTTGTGGAATCCTTTTAATGCTGCCCAATGCAACCCACATAAAAAAAAAAAAAAAAAAAAAAAAAAAAAAAAACAGTAACCTGGTATATGGCTCGAGCAAGCGACACTCTAGCTTTTTGACCACCACTCAACATGAAACCACCTTCACCGACATTTGCCTCATCTCCTCCAGGTAAAACTTCCAGATCTTCATCCAGTGCACAGGCAGAAATTACAGCTCTGAAAGTAAGTTCAAATCGTTACAAAATACAAATTATTGAAATCTCTAGTAGGAAATGTAGTTTTTTATTAACATTCAGAATATTAAATAATTCTAAGATAAATGCCACTTTTTTTTTTTTTTTTTTTTTTTTTTTTTTTTTTTTTTTAAGTTTTCAAAAATGATTAAATTAGGAAAAGATCAGACGATTCATTCGTCAGTTTGGTGCTTGATTTTGTATTTACTGAAATGTAGAATTAGTTACAAATAAGTCAAAAAATAGAAAAAGTATTGAAATTAAATAATGTAAAAACATCAATGAAAATTAGCAAATACTCACTTGTATCGGGTCTGATCGAAAGCTTTTCCAAATAAAATATTTTCTCGGATTGTGCCATTTTGAAGCCAAGGAGATTGAGTTACAACAGCAATACCTGAAAAGAAAAACAAGTTTTTAAAGGAGTCACAAGAAAATGAAAATTTCAGGTGAAGACAAATGGCAACCTCTTTCAACATATCATTGAGATCTTTAAAGATTAATTAATCCTCGATACTTTCATACAAATTGAATTCTGGATGATTTATTTCCGAAATGTTTACTCTGATAGATGGGTACTTTTATGAACGGCGGATGTACTGTGAAAAATAATTATACAACTTGAAAAGGGAGTAAAAAATACTACATTGTCCGAGATTCCTATGAATGAGAATTAGCAAATAAAAGATATAAAAAGAAAAAAATACTTGTTTTACAAATTTTGAAGTACTGGGAGGTATTGTAAATCAAAAATATTAAAATAAACTCTTGCTGTAATGTAGTCTGCTAAAACAAAAATCTCAATACAGAAAAAATAAGCATCTGTTTCACTGCATAATATTACAAGAGTTATAATTTTCTAGTTTTTTATACAAGAATCAACATTTTACTTGTATTATTTTACCGGAGTAAATATGAGCCTGTGCTACGCTGCATTAAAAAGAGGGGAGGGAGGGTCAGTGCAAAACACACAAAATCTTAGGAAAGTTTGCACAATCTTTTGCATAAAAATACATGTATCAGACTTATTTCTTCAATATTATTTGTCACATATCATTGAAAATACTTCAAAGTATATCCAGCTATATAAACAACAGTTTCCCACTATTTTTTGAATCCTCAGAGGGAGGGGGGGGTGGTAAAGCGTTACATAATTATCAAGAGATGTTTCGGGGTTGGGTTACAAGGAGGTGGCGTTTTACAAGGGAGGCGGGGGTTCAGAAATGCCAAAAAAATGCTATATGCAATTTATAAACGCTCTTTAACTAGGATTTTTACCTCATTTAGATTGTTATCTTGCTTTACTAAAGAAATCGGCCATTTCTGATAAAAAAATGTATAGCAGATCGTAGGGATGCAAGCATTGTAAATAAGAGTTTATGCACAATCCATAAATCTTATAGTAATAGAAAAATACTTGACAAACCATTTTCTAGCTCCGAAGTTGCCACTATGCCAGTGTGTTTCTCCAGTTCAGCCAGAATTGCGAATAACAAGGAAGATTTTCCAGATCCAACTTGCCCTGCCACTCCAATGAACTGACCCTGATACAGACAAAGAGGAGGAATCAAGTTCACATATGAATGGAGATTTACGAACCACGGCTACTTATTTATTCAGATAAGGTATAAGGTAGCTTCAAAGAGCTGAATGTTTAAAAACCGATTTAAAAATTTAAAAACTCACTGCTTTCTTCCATTCTTTTCATCAGAAAAGCTTCAAAAAACCTCATATTTCTCGTTAAAGTTTCAAAATTTCTTCTATAGCCTCACTTACCTATCTAAGCAAAACTTACACCAGTTTAAAAAGCGGAAACAGGAAGGCAGTGGACAAGTGTCACTGACAATTAGGATTCCATGTCACAGGAAAATTTTACATTCAAAGTGCTGAAAAGCATGAATGGAAGATTTCGGAATAAAATTCCTGTGCAATCAAAGGATAAATTCATTTTTGACCAGACTTCCATTAAAAAAATTACTTTATCCAATTGACTGTCATCAGTTTTTTTTTTACTTCATTCTGGCCAAGTTCCACGCATGTCTGCCCATAATAATGAAGCATTCAGAATTTTATTTTCTGGGGAAAATTTGACGAAAACCCGTACGGATAGATAATCCTCACCTTTTTTGCACTTATATTGATATTTTCCAGTCTAAAATGTTTACTTCCCCAAGAAAAACAACCATCTTCGATAATGAGAGTGCCTGAATTCATTCCGGTGACGCAGTTGTAAAAATTTCCATAATCTAAATCCGGCATCTGTAATTAAAATAAAAATAAAAATAAAAGAAAATATGAAGGAAAATCTTTTAACCTGCTTCAGTTTAAGTTCGTCTATTCCTGATTTAGAGGAGGGAGGGGAGGAGAGAGAGAGAGAAATGAAAGAAAAAAGACAATTAGTAATCTGGAGTAGTAGTAAAGTACTTTAATTTTTGAGCAGTGTCCTAGCTACTTGAGCTGGTGAGGTCCACTCTCTCCGAGTCTTCTGGAGACTAGTTGCTGAGGTTGGAAGAAAATAAAGAAAGAAAGAAAGAAAATATCTAAAAATAAAAAATAAAAATAAAAAAAGTAGAAAGAAAGTAAACTAGAACTATTTGAAATTATATTTGGTGTTCACTGCGCCAAAAAAAAACAAAAAAACAGGTGTTTCCCATCGTTTGAAATTTCTGAATTTACAAGAATATTGACGCCGTAAATGATGCCACAGTGTAAAAAATAGGAAACGGCGACCTCATTTCATTGTTTCCACATGACCAAGCATATATTCTCGTCATTAGTAATATCATTTTTCTGACTCTAGGTCATTATAAGGCACAAAATGACACAACGGTTATTTTATGAGCATGTCCCAAAGCATTCACTATTTTTGCAACCAATGATAACTCTAAAGGTATCCTTAAAAATTAGAATTGTTTCACTTTACTGATTCTGTGAATTTAAGAAACAGCTATAGTCATTCTTGCCTTCTGCACTACCACTTAACGATTTTGACATTTTTGTAATCGCTACAGATCTTGTAACTTTTAAGACTTAAATTTGTTAAATGTTGAAATCCTTATGATTTCCAAATCACTGATTTGTATGATAGCCATTAATCATAGCTCCTATGTACCAAATGTAAAATAAATAAATAAATCTTAGAATTTGCTCTAATTATAACTTAAATAGAGTTGATGATAGACAACAACCCTGCTTTCACCCTTTGATGACATGGAAATTCTCTAAAAGCCTACTTAGACACTTGATTTTAGCTAAAACCCCCCAATAAAACTGCTTGACTGCAACAACAAGTCTTTAACTAAAACCAGTTTCTTCCAGGACTTCCCAGAAAGAGAGAAAGAGAGCATCTAAAAAAAGATGAAGAGATGCCAGATTCTGAAAAATCTCTACCTTAACAGATTCTGGTGTTGGATGGGCATCCCAGAGCACCCTAGTGTGCTGTAAAAGCGACTAATATGTACATACATACGCTATAATCTAGATAAAAAATCTTCCTCTTTATAGGTTAAATGTGCTTGATGGCTGCGTTATTTCAAGAAATTCGACTATCCTAGTGTATACCAACCTCAAAAAGTTTCTGAATTCTTTTAATGGACACCCAAGCTTCAGTGAGACCATTTAAGACCCAGGGTAAGGCATTTAAGGGCATAATTAACATATGAAGAAGAGAAACGCATGTGAAAACCTGCCGGACAAAGAAAGGAAATCAATTAGTTATTATGACTTCATGATTAACAGACCTCTAGACAGGGCAGAAATTTAAGCATTGTTATCATCGTTACCGCCCACGGAAAATCTCCAAAATCAAATCACATATGAGGGGACAAATATATTGCTTTTAATGTAATTGTAATTAATAACTATTGATTACAGTCTACATTAAAATCAGTCCATTCAAACTCCCCACCAATGAAAAATCAAAATGAATTGAAGTGGTCAAATAAATATAAAAATGAGTTTTGCAAATTATTAAAGCTGTGCAAGGCTTGAATTTAAGATCCAAACTTAAACAAAAAAACAAATCAAATATAAGTCAATAATTAAATAGCAGTGTACTCATTAGAGTATGAGGTATCAAACGAGCTCTAGTTTAACTTGATTGGCCAATTTTAAGGCCCGAGCAGCTCCAGTCCAGAAATGTTTTGAATCCGCCACATACTTGGGATCCATGAGTCAGGATCGGTACTCTTTGCAAGGTCCCAGATCAAGATCTTGACACCTTCCTTCAGAAATTACTGATACGATCATTGATTGATGGATTGGAGTTTTTTCAGCTCGGTAATGACTAAGGAAGTTAGTTGCCCAAAATATTACACAAACAGCATTTAAAGAAAAGAGAAAATGAAAGAGTCACCGTAGCTGCGTTAAGTTTTCCTCCCATCAGAACAAATGTAGAAAAAGTCAAGACAGACATCAGAACAGGAGTTGTTGCCCAAAAGAATACACACAAAGCATCCAAGTATTTTCGGTACTTCAAATACTTCAGCTCAGAGCCTCTTACATCTGAAAGGGAACATTAAAACGTTATTAAGACTCCCTTACCGCTATACATATCAGTAGAGTTGCAAAAAATTTATGATTTTTGAAATTTCATGATATAAGAGGGGTACCTTCCAAAGGAAAATGACTCTTCTTGACTCTACTTTTTATCTCATCACTTTCGAAAAAGAGGCAAATTACATATTTTTTTCATGAAATCTGACACTTTTTGTGCTAGGCAAATCAAAAAATTTGATCTTCAAGCATGCTGAACCATGAAGCACAATAAAGAACTTTAATTTGCCACTATTCAGAAATATTTAGCAACGTGCGCTTTTCACCAAACATTTTCGTCTTTCATGTACTTTTCAACAGGTCTAAAACTTGATCTCACGCTTGGGAGGAGGGGAGGAAGGGTGTTTCTAATTGAAATTCTCAATTTGCCTCCCGCCTACCTCAAAAAAGGTACTTAGAGTTCACTCTACATAAGTTTATGCACTGTTGAACTGCGACAGAGGATCTGCCATACTGATTTTTGCATTTACTTTCAAAGCTGAACTGAGGACAGCTGGTCTTCAGTTAAGCTCTAATAGTGAGTAAACTGATTTAGCGTGGAATCTACTTTTACTTGAAGAAATCTCATCCAAAGTGCATGTCAATTTGTCTCTGCTCTGGAAATATTGATTGGTATCCATATTCTACCACAACTCTACAGCTATAATGGTGAGTGCTGCAAAGGATTGATTGATTGACAATGAGTAGAAAGGTCTCCCTTGACTTTGGGACATTTTCCACTTTCTTTGACAGACACGTTTCCTTGTGAAATTTAGAAGAAATGTGACAAAAGATGATTAATGGAAAAATATAAAAATTACCTTTAACTTTTGAAGCAAAGTGATCCTCCCACACATGCATTTTGATGACTCTGATTCCATGTAAGATTTGAGACATTAAATTCACTCTTTTATCTTTATGACTCATGAGAAGGGTACTGTAACTACCTAAAAAAAGGAGTAAGTCATTGATGTTAATAATTATTCTTTCCTTTTTGATTTTAGTCCTACTCATTGAAAAGAACAATAATAGAGGATAAACGCACAGCATGCCATTTTTAAAATATTTACCAATGCTGAGCTCAATTCAAAGAGACTGAAATATAAACACACTATTTCACAAGGAAGTTATTTTTCCCATTTTAACAGATAAAAATAAGATTGGTTTTGCTTTCTTGACTTACCCTGTTCACTGTCTGATTTACGCACTGCTTAATATACAGTAGATGATGACCATTTTGGGGCCCTTAGTCCACAGGTCGACATTATCAGGTCGTTAAAGTTGGTCACACAAGTATGGAAAATTTTGTCCATTCATGCAAACTCATCATCAAAAAAACCACAACACACTAATAAAAAATCAGAGAACGAAAAATTTGAATCCAACCTCTTGCAAAAACTCAATAAAATGAGAGAGAAAAAAAGAGAATAAAGGCCTGATCAGGGTAACAGAGCAAACAAGAATGTAACGTAGCATTATTAAAAGGCTGCAAAAAATTCAGATACTACAAAAGCAACTGGAAATAAAAAAAACATGAGAAGTCCAGCCTATTCAATATGCAGGTCAAATGTAATGCAGCAACTCTCATGATTTTCCCTTCACTCCTCTGCGACTTAACTCACTGATTGGCCACTGTTCACCAATAAATGGAACGTTACATTGCGTCTCTTCAATTACTTGATGGAGCGTTTTTCCTCTTTTTTTCTCCCGTTTTGTTAAGGTTCCACAAGAAGGCTTGGTATCAATACATTGCTTTCCAGTTTTTCGTCAAAGTTGTGCAGTTTGATTGGCTAACTTTTGAATTTCAGATCGGCGGGAAAGATTGTATTGTTGGATCGATCTTTTAAAAGATTGATTCTTTGGGCCTGATCGTTGAATTGGATCAATTCTCCCTGGCTGATTCAGAATGATTCTGGAAAATCGATTCTCAGTCCAAGAATCGCCATCACTATCGCGATGATAAGTCAGCAAAAAAATGTAATGTCAAAAGTGAAAACAGCTTTTACACTTGAAGATAAAATCTGTTGGCATGATTATGGGGACTTAGTGCCCCTAAAGGCCACCGTCTACTGAAAAAAGCTTGTAAAACAGATTATGAGAATGTGAACGATTTTAATGTACGTTTGAGAGAAAAATGTACGTTTGATGTACGTTCTAGATTTGTTTGATTAGTAGCACTTACATGAAAAATAGACTTGATTGAAAGTCAAATTGGAATACCATGGGAAATTCGAAGCATACATAATATTTTAAACACAAAAAAGTTCTTTGAGTATTATGCATTGTTAGTGGTGAGATTAATAAAGAACAACGAGTAAATGGACCAGTGAAATAAAGAAAATGTAATGAACCAAAGGAAAACAAAGGCTTACCTATTTTTGATGCTATGACTTTATTCATTGGAATGATCAAACAAGAAAACACAACTCCAGAAATGAATGCTAGGCCAATGTGCGTGTATAGCATGTACATGATAACGCCAATCTAGTGAATAAAAAAATATCTGATCAGTGAGAATACTTTGCAAGGATAGAAAGAAAATTTCACACTCGCAAGCTGAAATAAATATACATGCAGTGAAACATGTCAAAGTAGGAAATTTTAATTTCTCCTTTCAGAATGGTCATTACTATCAAGCAATGATTATGATTTCCTGAGTAATTTTTTAGGATAAAAGTGCGTGAAACACAAGAATCTCTAAAATGTTCGAGAGCAACATGATCTTTCATCATGCATTGCGGCAGGTTCCTACAAAAATTTGGAAAAAATGTACTCTCCAACAATATATGCAAAAACAATTTCCTTCTTTCATAATGGGTTTAAAGGCAAGCACCTCACTGCAAAAATGGTTTTCTCACAGAGGTCACACTTGTCGAATTTTAAGAAAATTCTAACTTTGAACTATTGAATAAATTCTCACTGCAAAGGCTAAATTTATAGTTCTTTCGTAGTCTAAAACCCCCATTCTTACTCTGAAATAAATACTGGCCTGTAATTGATACTAGGCTGTTGTTTGTTGCATTTGGAAGAACAGTTGAACCAAGTAGTCAAATTACAATGATCTTTTAAAAGAAAAAGCTAAAACCTGAAATGGTATGCTCCAGACTTCGTGAAAACTTGGACATAAATTGACCACTCGATCAGTATCAGTACTCATGAAGTTGATGATTTCACCCGTGCTGAAACAAATTTTAAAAATCAGAGATTAATTAGAATGCTGAGAAAGAGAAAGATTAGAATTATGTTTTGAATGCTGTTTGAAACAGGCAAAAGTAATCGTAGGTTCGCACTGTTCTGAGACAGAAGCAAAGCACAAAAAAACCAAAAATTAAAATATAAAGTGATGAGAGGTCAAAGAAAATAATCCATGAAAAAACGTAAGAAAGTGAAAAAACTTGATGTCTCTAACAATTCTTCACATTTGTTAAAAAGAAAATCAACCAAGTTCTACATGCCATTTGTATAAAACCAAGGTTACCTACGAAAGGAAAAGCTATGAAAAGTCTAATCTGCCATATTCTGCTTACAAAATTGCTGGATTATGATGCAAGTATGCCTTCTACAGGCACAAGATGAGCTAGACCTCTCACAACTTACCCTCCAGGTCACTAGAAAAGTTCTATTCAAATCTATAAAATTCGATTCTTTGAGCCGCTTCGGCAAAAATTGCTTCGCTAAAATTTTTTTCTCCCTAAACTAAGGTCTTTCCTCCTATGAACAGTTAGTCACACTTCAAAAAAATTCAAGTACAACTTCAGATATAGGTATTCCAATCCATAGAGATTATCTTCTGCCAGCTTCGTTATTTCCTTTTCTAGGACATAACTTAGGAAGGCTAAATTTTTTTTTCTTAAAAATTAATTGAATGATGAAAAAAGGCGAATGATAAAAGTATACAATAATACAAAAACTGAATAGCTTGGATACTTACCTAAACTTATTTAAATATAGAGAATTCAGAGTCAGAGTTTTTTTGTAGATAGTTGTAATGAAGGCACCACGAATTTTTAACTTCACTTTTGCCATCATGAATGAAAAATGCACACTGCAAAATGCACCTAAAAAAAGAGGAGCAAAATTTGGCAAATAGAAGTCAAAAGAGAGAAAACATGAATAAATATTTGGAGGGGGGGGGGAGCTGCTATAATTATGAGACTCATGAATGTAAAATGAATAGCTCTATTTTTTATACAAAACTAATATGTATGTATTTATGATTATGGCATGGCTCTTAGATAACCAAAAAAAAAAAAAAAAATTCTGTTTCAACCCTAAAAGTGTACATTGAACATTAATAGATATTGTCTTTGAAAAACACTGTTCATGACATCTACTACCAAGGTATCACTTCATGGTATTCTTTGGCCTTGGATTCATCAATTAGTAGAGCGCAGACTTGCATCTATTGCTCCACACAGGGGAGTAGAAAATACCTGATTTTATGGTCTGGGAAGCTCCCCACAGGAAAATTCGAATTTTACTCAAAGGCAATAAGATGCCAAAGTACAAGCGCATTAGCAAGATATTTACAGGTTTCTATACTTTAGAAATATAATCTCCAAGACACATCTCCAATTGGATAACCATCGTTAATTTTGCTTTCTATCCTTTACCATTGATTTGGAAAAGCATGTTTTTTGTTAGAGGCAAGCCTGAGGGAGTTAATAAGTATGTAGTCACCGGCCTGAATAGTGCTGCAGGAGCCTGTAGATATTTACTGCGTATTTCCCCAATGGAAGAATAGTACTTATTTAAGATATGAATGCTGAGCACTGGAGATGATAGGAATACTCTTTAAATTATTGTCTTCAGTGAATTATGGAAACTTTGGAACTGAGGTTAAGAAATCAGGGAGTGCTAAATCAATGGCAAGAAATCATGAACAGAGGAAACTTACTGATGACAGACGAGACAGCAAGAGCACTTGCATAGTAGTATCCATATTGAATTGGTTCAGTTTTCGTCTCAATGAAAGAGACGAGTCGATACAATAGAAGAGGACCTAAGAAACCAGAACAGTCTGCAATCAGCTTGAGAATGCCAATCCCAAAAAATGGTTTCCCAAAACTGCGGAACAGAGCTCTTATCAAAGAAACGTTATAAACTTGTTCTTTTGACAAAGTTTCTGTTTCTTCTTCAAAGCTCCCGGGTTCATCTCTTGAGTCAACCTCTGGTTTTGATAGTTTGACTGTGTATAATTTGTGGTCAAATTTTTCACATAAAACCGAAGCAGCCATGGATACAGGTAAGTCAAAAAGGTCATCAGCGTGTTTGATATCTTCTGAGGCTCCTTTTTCTATTAAAGGGTTCACCCAAGTAAAGAACAGTTTAGCCAGGGGCCCCCATCCTTCCATTGCTTCTCCAAGGTAGTGACGACCCAAATCTTCGTCGAAACGGTGATAACGAGTGCTCTGAAAATTCTCATCATTCTGAAAAAGAAAGACGTATAACAGAAAAAATTTCAGAAAATCATAATAAAAGATATAAACTCTACATACTTATGAAGGCATTTCAGATTTTATCATGAGGACCTAATAATTATTAGAGCCTTTCCTTATCATTTGTGTTTTCAATAGTACTTCGGATCTGACTTGGAAACTTGACAAAACAAAAGGCAGAGATATTTCCGCTTGATCCATTTTCCCTGAGTGAGGAGGAACTTTGGTGGCAAAAATTCTCATAATTGTACAAAGCTAGGAAAAAAAGAATGCTCAACAACGAGCAATTATTTTAAAGATGAGAGGTAGGCGGAAAAAAATGACATCATTCGCAAATAATGCACCAAATTTAAAAAATTAGAATTTTTTGAAGAGCTAAGAGTGTGGTGGTAAAATGTTTCATACTTACCAATTCCAGTAATTTTCATACTTTTTGAAGAAAAAATAAATATGTATACATTCTTTAAAAATGACCCTCATAACTGATGAAAGCCCCTGCAACTTTTAAAATCAGTTCCATGACAAGGCCACAGAAAACTCACGATTGATTTGGGGAAAAAATACTTAGAGACTTTTCCATAAAAATAAAGTATACTCACAAGGGTATCCCAGAACTGCTGATATCTTCTGACGCCATTAGAGGGTGAACTGGGAAGCAGAGTTAGTAAGTAGAGGAGCTGGAGAGCGGCAGATATTACTGCTGAGTAGAAGTGTACTGAACAATTGGAGACACTTGGGATGTGCTTATAAATAATAAACTGAGAACGAAGTGCAATGAACGTTATAATGAAGTAGACACTCCAGATAGCATTCATCAAGACAGGGCCGCGATGACTGGGACTTAATCGATGACGTAAACACAGTATGTAACAAAAATGAAGTAGCATTGCAAAGCATTGAGTTACGTTGAACAAAAGTAAAACAGGAGCAAAATGCAATGGAACTGTGCTTATCTCCAGAATTACTCTACTCACAGGTAAAAGGGCCATGAAAAATGTCAGAGTGTACCTTACTCTGAGCATATTCATTTCAAAGCGTGATCTGAAGGCATAATTAAAGTCCCGGCCGCAATAATACCCTGATATGATAGAAATGAGACATAGGACAGGGAAGTGCAAAACCAGTTTCTGAAAGCAGTCACCCAAGTCTCCATGTTTTTGATCCCAGAAAACAAATCCCTCCGGCTGGCCACAGAATTCAGTCCAGTTCCAAGTCCAATTTATATCTGAATAACGATTCATCCTTACCTGGAAAAAATAAACAAAATTTGAAAATGAGGAGAGCTCACAAGCCCTATTTTTCATTGGGCTTGCCAAATAATTGGAAAAATTCAGAGAAATGAAAGCAGAATCCTGTTGAGGAAAAAACCTTACACTCGATACAGAAATCGATAACCGTATTAAATGCAGGGTTTTTTCCAAACAGGATTCTGCTTTCATTTCTCAAAATTTTTTGTTTAAAATGATTCTTCAGGCTTGTACGCAGTAATTGTTGGCCTTGTGGTGGCTAAAAATTCAAAATCTGCCAAGATTCTAGTCCTAATCAATGCGATATATCACATGCCAGTTTGACGTCACATCTGAGAGCTTGATGAATCACCTTAAATTAAAGATAACGAATACAGGCAAGGCTCCAACGTCCCCAACAAAGATAAGTGGTTTTCTAGGATACCGATGAACATGAGTCATACTGAAACATCTCATTGTGTGCACTGACTATCCAGTGACAGAAATGAGCTTCCAGAATCGTTCATTTACAAATTGAAGATTCTGGAGCGAGTGACAGATTAGAGCTAGATTGCTACCAAAAATTGCCGTGGCTCATAGCAAAAATGAAATTTGGAGAAGGATGTTCCATAATCTCTTGAGGAATAGAAACAAAAGGATCACTGAGAAGATGAAGTAGTCTACGGTGCGTCTACTAATAATTTTACTTACAGGGAATTAAACTTCTATCGGATGGACATAATCAAAGTGAGAGGAATCATGAGATGCCATGCAGTTGTGAATTTCGGCGAACAGCAACAGCATGTATACTAATCATAAATTCGGATGAACAATAGAAAGCATAAGTTACACAAGTACAAGTTACACGTTCCGTTAATTTGTTGTTGTGATAATAATAAATGATAACACCATTATTGTTATTGTTAACGAATTTGGCAAACTGGCCAAACCACTGGCCGATCATCAAAAAATTTGGTCCATCGACCAATCAGGAAGCCCGGATTAGCCGATGAATGATGAATTTATGGTAAACTTCATCAACAATTTTTTTTGGTTAGTTTTGTTCTTTCTCTGTTCTTTCTGTTGATTTTCCTGAAACTGAAAGCCGCCGCGTGCCGAGTGAATGTAATTCTTTTATATCTACCGTATATTGTGCAGTTCATAGTTAATCAATATGCCATCTCAAGAATTTTACATCAGATATTACGTTGGACACAAAGGTAAATTCGGCCATGAATTTTTAGAGTTTGAATTTCGACCTGATGGTAAATTGCGGTACGCCAACAATTCTAACTACAAAAACGACACTATGATCAGGAAAGAAGCGTACGTGCATCAGAGTGTTATGGAAGAGCTCAAAAGAATCATCTTAGAGTCTGAAATCATGCAGGAAGATGATTCCTCCTGGCCGATGCCGGACAGAGTTGGGCGACAAGAACTGGAAATTGTAATCGGTGACGAGCACATCTCCTTCACCACTTCGAAGACTGGATCTCTTATCGATGTCAACCACTCAAAGGATCCAGATGGACTACGTTGCTTCTACTACCTCGTACAGGATTTAAAGTGTCTAGTCTTCAGTTTGATAGGACTTCATTTCAAAATCAAACCAATCTAAAGAACTGGAACTGATCCTGTAAGTGATTTTAACGTTGTACATAAAATCCAATTACTCTCTAAGTATTTACCTTATACTTTTTGGTACAGTTTCACACAGGGGGGAAGTGAATCCATCCATCTCTCTGTTGCAATGAATGGTGATTCAGAAGAATTCATCTCTCCTTGTGTCTGTTCATCTCTTTGCTTGAAAAGTTTTCACAAATTAATTTATATAATTTCCTCAGTGCAAAGGTGCGCAGCAACCTATTTTCCTGTACTTCAGTAGATCATTTGTGTACCAGAATGAGCAGGGTTTTGCCTATTTTTGTCAAGTCCTTAAATTTTGTCACTGTCATACCTTTCCCAGTAGTCCTAAGTTTTTATTTTTTTACCTCAAAAAAATTGTGAAGCACCCGTGATTCAGAATTGTAACTGAGATTTCAATATAAACTTGACATTTATTCAATCTGAGTTTGTTTTTCAAACGGTGTTGTAAGTCCATAACCTTTAATTGAAGAACTAAGAAGCTAATTTTGACCGGAACAACATCAAGTTGTTCCTTATTCTCATTGATTTTGTTAAAAATGAATGGAGCATACCATCTTGAGTTCTGATCGGAAGTGATCCCTTATCGGAGGTTCACAAGTCTTTTGACAGTGAAACTATCAGACCCTTTATCTCGGTTCGCAATGTCGCAAACTACCTGTCATACTACAATTTTTAAATTGAAAACTACGCAACGTCAATTCTTGAAAACTTCTGTGATTTTTCTTCTCTGTGAAAAATTTAAAAAACTATATTGGTTCTTACTCCTTCAAAAAAATGAAACAAAAGCAGACATTTTTTTAACGCCACAAAGGAAGTATGAGAGGCTTGGAGGACAAGGTGCACGAGTGCAGTTTTTGAAAAAATTGAGATATTAATAATTTCAAGTAAAACTAGTCTTAATGTATATTCTGTGAAGTACCTATCGGCTTCCAAATTCCAATATTTAAGCAACAAAAAGTCACTATGAACTTTTTTTCCGCCATTAGGACCCATATAATTTCGAAACTTCAAAACTTCAAGTATTTCTCGAAATAGCAAAAACTGCACTTAGGCGCCTTGTCCTCCAAGCCCCCAATATGTGGTCTGGTAGTTTCACGGTCCATTTGCAAGTAAAGTGTTCTGCTTTTTCTGTAATAGATACATGAGTGTCCCTTAGGACAAGTTGAGAGCGGTTTAGTTAATTTTTCTGCCAAGCAATGTGTTAATTTGCACTATAGTTGGCTGCTTATGTGCTCAGAATAGCAAATTAGAATTTCCAATACCCAAGTATTTTTTTCTTAAAACGGCGTTTTTTAGACTGCAGACTTCAAAATAAAGTACCTCTGATTTATTTTGATAATTTTGGGCACTTTTTCTTCCAAATGGTTCACTCGGCCTTCCTCTCTGAAGCATATTGACAGTGTGAATAAGAACCTAACTTATGTTTCTAAAAATGTTTTTTAGGACCCCATTGCTTTAGGCTACTGACACACAGAAAAACCTTTTGAAAACCCAGAAGTTGAATCAAGCAGTGCATCTGAAAGTGAAGAACTCCTCATTTCATGTAATAGAGCATTGAGTCTAGTTTTATTTAGCCTGAGTTCAGAGTTTTCAAAAAAATCTGTTTCTATAATATTCCCCAACTCTATTTTCTTCTTAAGGAAAAATGAATCAACATTTTGCCAAACTTTATGAAAGAACTTATTTATAATTGATCATTTCATATTGAAGTCAAAGGTTTATCTCTCTCAAGAAAACATTGCTGAATGTATTTTGGAACAATCAGTTGCAAGGAGGGAACAACAATGTTTACGTGAAAATGTTTTCCTCCGTTCATCCAAAATGAAAATGAAAGATTGAATACAAAAACGACAGAGAGGCTTTTAATTTTCAAAAGTCCAGAGCTTTATTCCGAATAAAACATGATTAAAAATATAATCAAAAACAAAAGGCAATGAATACAGAATTTCAACTAAATTGGCATACTTAAGTAAGTGGACTGGGATCATTAGGTATGTTCAATAAATGGAGGGAAGGGGATTATTTAGTTCAGAAAAATAGCGCTCCCTTCTTAGTAACTATTATTACATTACTTGCTATTTCTAAGACATCATACCCAGATAGCAAAAGTTCTTCCAAATTTTGATGATGAATGCTGTCATGAAGTTATCAGAGAGATTATTCAACTTGTAACTGACAAAATTTTCAAGGAATAATCAACTGAAAAATTTCCCAAAAGAAGTGCAGTATAAGAGACAATCTCTCTTTTTAGGTATTTGAAGTTAAGTAATGATCAAATGAAGTTGTGCAGTTTTTCTGGTTGTAGACAAAAGTAAGTACTTAAATTGAAAATTAAAAGTCCGTGGAGGACCTAAAGCACGACTGCAAGCTGACCATTAGATTTTGCTTGTTGATTGGACAAAAGGAAACTAAGATGAAGAGGTTGTCAGTCTGTTGCATACACGCTTTTGATTTTGACTTTGTTAAGACAGATTATCTAATGGTTGTCGGTCACTGGAAGGTTGCTCTTGGCTTATGAATAATAAGACTGGAGAAAGAGAATGAAATATCAAAGAGCCATGCAACTGAACGATCCCATTATTGCATTTTACCTTCGTCTTTTCTTGTCCAATCCACAAACAAAACAATTAAACGATTAGCCTGCTGAGGTCTTTTAACGGCATTCTTCGATGAATTTTAACTAGAATTTAGTGAAAACATTGGGAGATGCAATCCGCAACCACATCAAGAGGATAGGTCAGCATTAAGGGGTTCTTGGCAAAATTCAACTACAGATCACGACTGAGGTGACATCACAGTATTTGATGAATGCAGGGTGCCTGAAAACACCGATAATTTAGATACTAAATAAACCTACCTTATCACTATTTGATAAAATTTGAAAAAAAATAACAGAAACCAACGAAGAAAAATTTGTTGTACAAGCAGACTACTGTTAAACGTATATTACGACATTCTTACTTTGGAAAAGATTCGTTTTCTGAAAAATCCTGGAAATCATATGATCAGTCTTGTAAATCATTTCGAAAGAGTGGATTTTTTCTCCCCGGAAAACATGGAAACTGAAATTACTCATGGATTCTTACGAAGTTGATACCACTGGACTTTGAAACTTCATAATCTTCATAAGCGCACATTCTACACAAGAACTGGAATAATGGAGAGGAACTGGTAATTTTCCTAACTGTGAACTGTGCTGTTCAGTGCTCTGCCCTCCCCCTAAAATTTTAGGAGCCTTATTGGATTGGCCGGAAAGACCAATTTTTAGGAACCATCGAAAATTATTTGAGAGCCAAAATAACTTTTGGCACACGCATCATGAGCTACAGCTGCTTCATGATTGCGAGTTTGAAAAATTTGGGTGCGTGAACTCCATTAGGCGCTACGATGGCCCGGCTCCCCAATTTATAGGTGCAAGAGCTCGATTTTTTGGCTCATGCCGCCTGGAGAAGGCAGAACACTGGTACTGTCATTTCTTGAGGCGTACAAGCTTCAGATGTAATTTTCAGATTTACTTTTCGTAGTTTTTCCTGAATATCATGAAAAAGAATAAGTTCTGAATGAGCCATTTTATTTTAATTGATACAAATTTGCTTTCCTCTGACTACAAGCAATGTACAACGATAAATGGAAGCTTAAATGAGAGATGTAGTGCCTGTTTCACATTAAAAATTGAGTTTTTATTAATTGCTGATTACACTCATCCTTAACAAACACATTTAGTTAACTCCCGTTGACTGCTTAAAATTTCGACTTCCTTTCATCTCTTATAATACGCATGGAATACTTGCGGATGGAAAGTACAAGGTAATTGAATCAATCTTCCTCAAAAAAATTGAAGCACCAAAGTGAAAATAAGAAAAACAGTAGAAAATGTATAAATCGACCCAGTTTAAACCTAATAATATGATAATCAATTAATTCATCGTTTTGATATTTTAGCGCTCTGAGATCCAGTATGGGTAGGTAGTTTAAAACATTTTTCACAGTTTTTCTTGCATTCCCATCTTAGGTGCTTAGGTCTTTTTGAGACTTGTCGATTCAGTAATGTTTCAATCTCAACTTTTTTTCAAATGAAAGAACTTCTGGTGTTGAGCAGAGGTAATTAGAATATTAGTGCCAATACGAAGTATGATTCTTATGAACAAATTGACCGCTTTGCCTTGGGAGAGTCAAAAGTTAAAAAGGCCTAAATCTCATTAGATAGGAGTCTGTGGGTTGAACTTATTATCGAACCTCAATAAATTAATGAAGACGAAAATATTAAATGAAAAAATCAACAAATGCTTTATACTTGTGACTACAGTTTTACATTAAACTTCCTTAATCAAATTAAACTTTGTGTCAAAACAAAATGTTTTGTCATTTATATGTTGTATTTTGTACGCTAACAAAAATTTGAATAACACTCAAAGGTTCCAGCTAATTGAAGGTGTAAACGAAAATTAATAAACTCGAGGATATTTTTTCTTTTTCTTTAAAAAAAAAAAAAAACACTGGCATATTTTGAAAAAAATTTCCTTTCTTCTTTTTTTGAGTGTAAAATGGGATTAGTTCGGGCAGAATTTTCAGAAAAACTTAAATCTTAATTGACTTGGATTAAACCTTACACTTATGTACAATTTTTTTCTTTTTCTGTATAGTGAATGTGATTCCTTTTAGGACAATCAAGACCTTTCTTTTTTAAGGTTGTCAGAATGGAAAATAATGGAGCCAGCAGGAAAAGTTTTCTCTTGTAAAAATGTACAAAAAGCTTAAAAATTTTTTGAAATGTACATATTCCTGAGGCCTGCTTTTCATTGATATCAAATAGTGTCAAAAGAAATTAGTAACTGATGGTCAAAAATTCATGAATATTTTGATTAACATCGACAATTGTTTCCATTACACTAAACTGTGTGCTTATTTTAGGTTGGTGACATTCTTGAGAGAGAATTTTTTTAAATTTTTGGATCCTGTAGACAGGGCTCCTCCTAAAGATGAAAAATAATCAAGAACTTAATTTTGTGGTCTTATGACTTGCCGTCAACGTTTGCATTCTACTTTTAAGCTCCTCCTAGAAGATTCGTCCAAACTTCTGAAAGAGGGTTGTCGTGGGTCACTAACATGAAAATCCAAAATTTGCTGCCAAACGTATCAAACTTTAATTCAGGGTTTCCATACTTTCTTTATTTTCCACTTCCCTGACTCTTTTTGCTTTTCCCTGGCTCCAAAATTTTCTAACTCTTTGACTTTGGAACGAAACTTCCACTAAGATTTTGTTTCTTTAAATAACAGAGGCTTCTGCTAAATGCTGCTTGCAAAATTCGCTACTTACTGCTTTGCAACTGCAAATTTAGCATTCAACTGTCAGTAGTACCTTATCATTCTTGTTAAGAGGTATACACTACTCCTGCTGGCTAATTTTTTTTAAAAAAATAAGGAGGATTATTGCGCTTAATTCAACAATGGCATTTCACCAGACATAATCCTAGGAGAGTATTCAAAGACACCGACAAATACAATTTTTATGGGGGACAAATTCACTCCACTGACCAACTACACATGCAGAGACAGTTCTAGACTGACCGTAATTACAAACTAAGTAAGATCAAAACAGGCTTCAGATCACAGATAATGACATCAAAATTCTTTAAAAATAGAACCTAGGTCATTCTTAAATTAAATAATCAAAAGATAGCACAATTTATTGTCAAAATAAGTATTATTGTCTAAATTTAAAGTTTCTCTCTTTTACCATTATTTTTACAGGTCTTCTGAGGATCTTAAAGTTCATAGCGTACTTTTGAAGTATTTTATAACACATTCTGTTAACTGCTAAGAATATGGCAATACTCTGTTTTTGCCAGCAGATGGTACATTCTAATGACAAGAAAAAAACCTGGGGATTTAAAGTAACAGATAAAATTACCGATGAAGCATTTTAAATGCTTAATTATTTAAATTATAAAAACGTCATTTATACAAACAACGAATAGAAACATTTTACATTAGACTAAAATTTGCCGGTAGTAACTTGGAAAAATTTACAGATATGACTAAAAATAAAATTTCTCTTCTAGGGAACATACGTTGGTACATAATTGAAACATAGTCAACATTTCAAAAAATTTCTCCATACTTTCTAGACTGAGGTCTAATGCAAAGGAGTTCATCAAACTTAGAAAAAAAGAGACCCGTTTAGGTCACTGGACTTAATAGCATTACTGAACAAATGTTTCGACCAAGGGATGCATGACCAATAGCTATAAAGACTATCATGAATGACTTGAAGAAAATTTTACATCGAAAGTTTCATGCTATAAAATAGCACATTATACTTCTTGTTTTCTCCTTAACAAGACCGAATATATAATTATAATCATTTGGGTAAACTTTCAAAATAACATACACAGGTGTGTTTTTGTTTGTTCGTTTTTTGACAGACTCTAAATGCAAATGTTTTATCTACGACTATTTGAGATTTAAATCTCAATATAAGGAAAATCAGTCTAGTTGAAACAATTTCAACAAGTATAAAAGAAAAACAAATATTATAGGTAAACTTTACAAATTCAATACATTTAGAACTTAAAAACAAGAGTTTGCGGCAAGGAAAAAACAACCCGAGGGAACTCACTTCAGCGACTTTACCCCGTAAAAGACTATTGACAACAGCTGAAAAGTCGTGAATTCATATCATCCAAAATTAAGGTAAGTAATCATTACCCGATTTTTAAGGATTTTCATTCGTTGTTTGGTTTGAGCAAACATACGATTCCAGACTGGTTATTGCAGGGACCATCTTATAAAAGTATCTGACAGAATGCTCTCTAAAATTCTGATCATATAATTGGTTGAGGTAACAAACATAATTTCTTCTGAAGTTGAGAGAAACTGATATGGTGGAATGATATGATTGATAATTTCATAATGCTGTGAGTGACTTACATTAATGAAATTGGGTACATTACAAACTCCCATCAAATCCCAAGAGATTGGGTACATTACAAACTTCCATCAAATACCGTACATTAATTATCTGAGCTATGAACAAAAACTTATGGTCACCGTACAAGCGACCTTGACTAGGTTACATGGTACATACTTGCATAAGAAGCCTGAAATTGAGGAAAGATTTGCAGCAAGTATAAAAATCATACGGTTAAACTTAAAACCACAGCCTAGAAAACACTTCCAACCAATGCTAAATTAAAAAAAGAAAAAAAAATAAAGAACTGTTATTGTCTTTGAGATAATACTATTAGAAATGCTGTGTAGGAACAAATAAACTTTCCCACTCGCACTAAAATGAAATTTAATTCCTTCTTGACCCATTTGTGTATTAGCGTTTTCTTGCCTAGCAGTTTGGGCAACCAGGAGGGCAACAGGAAATTCTTGAACTTTTTAGAACAATATCCATGGTGCTATCCAGCAGGCAATTGGAAAAAAACAAGGAAAAAAATAGCCTGTCAAGCACACAAGAAAACTCGTCAATGCACAATTTTTATAGGTTCACAATGGCAAGTACACACTATGTGTATGAATAATCATCTAGAAACTGTGCAGGTTGACTTGTCTATGCACAATTGTTCTGGGACAGTGCTAACAAGAATACTTGTCTAAGTTTGCAAATGGGTTAAAAATGAATGAAAAATCATACACGACATGATAAATTAAGAGAGGAGATAACACATTTACTTTTAACGTCCCATTAGATAAAATTACCATTAGTGAAAAAAAATTATGAGATTATTTAAAACTTCCGCAGATTTTTGGTAAGCTTTGTTCGGCATTACTAGCTGGATAAAAATCAAAATTCAACATCATTAAATTCTTAGCAAGACAAAACAATTCTGTTATAATTTTTTTAAAAACAAAAGATGAGGTTTCCACGGATTTCCTGGTAATGTGCCAAGATAATAAGGACCAGAAGATGAAATGACAAATGCAACAGTTTGAATTATATACAGGGTTGAGGATATCATACAAATTTTCTAGAGGACTTGGTAATTTTATTTTGCAGCAACGAGGCTACCACACCTACCACTTCCTAGTTATTTGTATAAAGCCAAACAATTTTTAAATATTTCAGCCTATTTCTCGAAATGATTAGTAGTCCAAAATATACCTCTACTTCAATTGACCGCAGTTGGTATTAATGGCTATAACATCATTTTCCCTTCTAAAAGTCTAAAACTCAAAGTGGAACAAACATCAGAGGTGTTAACCTCATCCATCAGATTTTTTTGCAGACATTGTCAGGAGTATAGCTCAGGAAAGATAATTGAGATAACAATTGAGTAATTTTACGCAAAAGCTGATAACAAGACATACACAAAAACATGGAACAACTCACGAACCGTAGTAAAAAAAGAGAAAGAGGAGGAAGAGGAATGCTGTTTTTACATCTAAGACAGCATGCTTTGAAGGACTTGCTGAAACTTAGAGCTCTGCATTTGTGCAATTGATAAGGAGATAGGAGCGTGACTTAATATCCATCCTTTCCTTTCAACAAAAACTTTAAGGACTAGAGCTCCTTAACAGCAAAAAGATCTACAAGAACTGAAGACAAACTCGTTTGAAAATAAGTAGAACTCTAAAAATGATTCCATATGTTACATAGCATCCCAAGAGTTAAGATTGGTTTCAAAACATCAAAACAAATACTTTGACTGAGTGTCCTGATCTTGGAGGAGGAATGCCATTGGTATAAAAATCTGAATAAGTTCAATTTTTATTTGTCATCGTCATCCTCTTCGTCTTCCATTTCAACTGTTGATGTTGGACAGCACAGTCCTTCTGTGCCATCGTCCCGGATACAGAATAGAAGCGTCTCTGCTGGAGTCACTGAATGCTCAACAATCCCATGGAACTCCTTCAAGTCCTTCGCTGGGAACCACGCCTTTTCTGTGTCATCAATGAGTACTATTTCAAACGCTCTGGAATCAACACATACATCATGAGTATCTATTTTAAAAACCAAAAACTTCAGTCTTTTTAAGAATGACCGATTCAATTATGGAATGCAAGCATCTCTGATGGTTTCTTTACTTCATAAGGAAGATAGGATGAAAGAATAATGCTGAAATGCAGGAAACATTGTTAAAAAGGAAAAAGAAACCCTACAACGTTTCGGCCGATCACATGGCCGATATCTATCAAGTGAAAATGAAACAAACTTAAAAATATACGATAAATAGAAACAGAGAAGATTGCATAGAAAGGAAGTATAATTATAGACAGAAAGATGAACACTGGATTCTTTTGCTGAAAAGCTCTTTTTGTACCTTGTGGTTTGACAACTTTCTGGCCAATTTGGCTATTCTGTGGCTTTTAGTAGAGCTTTTTTTATAAAAAAAACTATTTAAAAAAAACTTAGAAAAAAGAACATTGGCACTAAAAATAAGACAGTGCAAGATCACCTACAAATTGAAAGTTAATGAAAAAAAGAAGCTAAAATGGTGTTGTTTATCACAGTCATTATTTTTTTTTTCTTCCTTTTTATCTTTCCTCAGGTTTTCTCTGGGTAACAAATTTTTGACGAGAGCTCTTTAAACTGGTCTGTTAGTTATAAGAAGCCACGTTCTTGCCAGTTGATTCTGAAGATTTTGAAAGAGGAGTGAAAGAATATTTTCCGACACATTAAAGTTTTTGAAATGGATCTGGTACACGCAAGAGGCACAGCATCTGAGTGGACCAAAATGAGATAAATTCACACAAAAATCTTGTCAAGCATATCGACGGTGAAACTACCAAACCATGTATCTCGTTTGCGGTGTTTAAAAATCTACGCTCACATTTTATTTTTTTGAAGTAGACCAAATCAATATCATTCCTTGAAATTTTCACAGAATTTTCTCCGCACGAAAAGGAAAAATCACAGAAATTTTCAAGACTGGACGTTAAGTAGTTTTTTATTTAAAAAATAATGTATGACAGGAAGTCTGCGACGTCGCAAACCGAGATACGTGGTTTGGTAGTTTCACCATCGATATTGGTAAAGTTTAAAACCCACTCATATACACACACACACTTTTCACAGTCTATAAATACATTTTTACATTCAACAACCGGGAACTAAGGATAAAAATAAAATGGAAGATGGCCTTTACCTGAGAATGGCAACAAGGGGGATCCAAATAACTGAGATGAGAATTAGAAACAGTATTAGATATATGCACCAGGTTGGCCACTCATGCCGCTCAGTTATGCCTTTTGACGCAACCCAGGCAGGATAACCACCGCCCTCAGTTGCGATCTGAACAAAGCTCGCACTGAGAATCAAAATCATGGCACATGGAGATATGTATTTCCAACAGATCATCCAATAGAGGCCTGGTCGAGAACCAGTCATTAATTCAATGTCATCTGCGAACCTGCAACCAAAAACACAGATTAAAGCTTTGATGAGATCAAACAGGAGTTATTTTGAATTAAGATTTTAGTGAAGCAAACTTAGAGAAGTCATGCATATGCCATTATTGTTAAAGGAGCGATTAAAAGTGATGCCACTGGTTATGAACAAATGGTCTTTAACGGTGAGTTCTTGGGACCAGTTGGTTATTCTCCTTTTGGGAGCCAAGATTAGCCAAACTTCATACGTCTGGACCATGCCTGAACGTCTACCTGGACCCTATTCCACCGTTGCTAATATATTTTCCCACATTGATATGCACACATGCTCTAGTTTTCATGCTTTTTTGTAATATCTATGCGGGTGAAAATTCATCAAGTTTTGATATTTTTTGGCGTCCCCATTTCTTAAATAATATTCACATCAGATCAGTAGTTGACTTCAAATAGTCCAAGTTTATCCAAGTGTGTTTTGATAAAACGACAATCTCTGTCAATCCACTGACAGTTGTTATATGGAGGATTTATTGTGGGCACTTGAGGCTTCTTAATTTTTACAAAAAATAAGAGAAAAAAAATGTTAAACTACAAAGTAATAAAGCGACAATAATAAATACTTCAAAATACAGCTTATTTCAAGGTGATATTTACCTTTTTAGCCCATAAACATAGGCAACAGCAATGCATTCGAAGAAGGCTATTATTAAAAGAGGAAAATTTCCACTGAAACTGTCAAATAGAATAAACACATAGTTGCCCGCTCCATGAGCAAATGACATGGCAAGAACAGCACACATGCAGCACAGCCCTCCTAAAATCAAAGAAAGGAATTATGTCACAAGATACCGCTTATCATATAAGTTCACTATAGTTTTTTGTAGACAAAATACAGTAAAGAAAAAATATATTATTTCTGCTCAGGATAATTTCCGAAATAATTTTCATCAAGCTTAAGAAGGATGAGAAGTTTAATTAAATATTTGGGTTAAATGCGGGCCAACCCTGCACGTAAATAAGAACTCCCTTCCTGCAAATCCTGAATCCACCTTTGCGAAAAGAGTTGATGACATACTAAAAATTGTGTCTGAGATGAGCAAATATCCAATTCAAACGAGAAGTAGAATTCAGACTTATCCAAAAATTGATGACATTGTTTATAGAAAAAAATTGACAGGACTGGAGCCTGATCGTTGATATTTTGTGTTCATTGAACAGATAAGACAAGATTAAGGAGAATGGACATATGATTGGTCAACGCTCTGCGTTATGCATCTTATCATGCTGTTTGAAGGGTTAATCCAACGAGAAGCTGAAAAAACCTCTTTGAGTTGCTGATACTTTATCATCAAATCTGCCCTTCATTAGCACAACAAGGCGCACAACTTAGAGCACCGACCAATCACATAACTCCAAAATCCTATACTTAGCCAAAAAGTTCCAAAAATTATAATTAGAGTCAAAAGTAAATTTTTCAACACTAATGAGTACCAGTGCAAAACTGAGGGGGGAGAGTGTTCAGCTCAGGCAGTTTGCATTGGAATATTAAGTTGAGGTCACGCCAAGAGATCTATACCGGTTTGGGTCTTTTTAGACCTCATCAGTGATCACACTTGTCAGTGAACCCAACTTAGCATCCCGCAAAATCCAAGACAGCATTAAAACGCCGTCATGAATATGACCCGAAGCATGACACAAAAGTGCGATCCTCGCGCCATCTACTGTCGCTGCTGAACAACTCTCTTCACAAAAAAAGGAAAACCCGAAAAAATTATTATCATATCTATAAGCCTATATCCCTCACTCCAAAAGTACGGCTAAGTTGGAGAAGAGGAGAGGGACGCCCCTCGTATTTTTGCCTGTCATCGCAGTGCCTCAAAATCATAGGTTAACTCTTTCGTTGAGAGGTGATTCCTTTAACGTACCTGTGACATATTGTTTGGGCAAATTCGGGAACAACTTCATGTCTGTTATTGATGTGATGACGCCCTCTAAGGTTCCAAACTGAGAATCTATTCCAAGAGTGAAAAGCATGAGGAAGAAGAGGATGGCCCACACTTGTGCAGCAGGGAACTGGTTGATGGCTTCGGTGAAAATTATAAAAGCAAGACCCGTACCTGATGCCGTCTGCAAAATGAAACAAAAAAATTTCAGCTCACTAGTAGCTTGTGGCTTTGCAGTTTTTATAGGTACACTCTCTTTTGCAAATTGAAAACAGACCAGCTGATTTTTGGTCAAAGTGAATTTATTATTATAATAAGCAGCGCTAAAGGAAAATACGGAGCTCAAGGAACTGCACAATTCCTTCGTTCTGGAGAAATTTTCCGTTCAATGGTGTTGTTACAGAGAGTGAGTATAATGTGCGAAAAACTTTACTAAATATCGGTGAAAATTTAGGGTGCTGTGACAACATATTCATGGTTGAAAAGAGTAAAACTTAAAATCAAATCAAAGGGAAATTTGATACTTACATTGTCAAGCTCTTTCTGAAGATTGCACTCGGGCAGTTCTGGCATGATGGCGTACTCAGTACTACTGGGAATTGAAACCCGCGATCTTTCAGCAGGTAAATTGTTTGGATCCAGATAAATTGAGGCATGACCAAATACAGCATATAGAGTTGCATTTCTTTCCTCTAGACATTTCTCATACGACATGGTTGCTTTGAAACCTGAAAAGAGAAGAATTCATAGGCATCACTGTAGTAATTTTCATGATTTGCACATCTGTAAAATAAAATTTAAGTTACATCTGTACGTCTTTCTGGTAGAGCTTTCAGCTATTTCAGTTTAATTGAGCTCTTACAGAATTTATTCGTAAATTTGTATGCTTCTTCATTCTTCATAAGAGGTGCACAAGGTGCAGCTTTTGATTCACGTTCTTTGCCTTGATGAAAATAAAATTCCTCTGGGAAAATTAGGTGTGCAAAAGAATCTCCATACGTCAAATGGGCTCAGGATTTGGCGGTTTGGTCTTACTTGAGTGAACAAACAAGTAAAATTCGGTATTTGTTATCAAAAGCTAAAATAATTGAAGATTGACCTTAAAAAGACATATATGAGCAGTAATTTAATGATCTGAAACAATCCAATAGTTTGAGAGTTCCTTTGGAAATTTTTCAACCAAATCATCTGCAGAGGCTGCAAAAAATTACGAATAAACTGACGTTCTACTTGTGTAGACCAAATGCATAGCAAAAATGACTGGGTCTTGTAAGCAAACTTTTCATTTTCTTCTGGTTACAATAAACACTAACATTTTTCTCGTAGTGTTTCTTGAATCAGGTTTGAGGCGCTTACATCATTTAAAAAATAATCAGTTCAACTGACAGGACTGGAAAACAGCTCTGACTAATCCATACCACTAACTTCTTTAAAACTCCACTGCACGAAGCTTTTGAAATGATACTGAACAAATTATAGACAATTCTGATCCTCAATACAAGCTGATTTTTTCATTCATGCTCACGGTTAAAATTATGAGAATTAAACATTTTTGTACACTATGCATACCAATTATTGAGAAGACAACAACTCCAGCAAACATGGATGTGAAGCAATTAGTGAGAGAAACAGTGATTGCATCTCGGTAGCAATTATTGTTGACTGGATTATATGAAGAGAAGGCGATCAGTCCACCAAATGCAAGCCCAAGAGAAAAAAATATTTGCGTTCCAGCTTCAAGCCAAACAACTGGATCAGCTAGTTTGCTCCACTACGAAAAAAAAAAAGAATAATGATGCTGGTTTTAATGATGAAAAAGTATTTTACATGAAATTTGAAGCCTGGAGAATTTTATCAAATAGGGTGACTGTAATGGTCTGGTAGTCGATATCAGTGACTAAAGGCTTGCCAGACCGCCCTAAAGTTGGAAAATTGCACTGTAAATTATATGTAGCGAGGTACTAATGCATGCGTGAGTAATTGAAACGCTGCGTGAACGCGGTTTCGGTCATCCTTTAGAATGGTTGGGCTTCTTCGATGCCAGGAGGGGCAGCCCAAAGGGTTGCGTTCCTTGGATGTCAGGGGGGGCAGCCCCTGGGGGTTGGGCTTCTTGGATGTCAGGAGGGGCAACCGGTTAGCAGACGTTTGGTCCAATTTTTTCCAAATTCTAGAGGATGACCAAAACCGCATTCACGCAGCGTTTCATTTACTCCTGCTTGCATTAGTACCTCGCTACATATAAATTACAGTGCAATTTTCCAACTTTAGGGCAGTCTGGCAAGCCTTTAGTCACCGATATCGACTGCGAGACCAAGCGATATCGATTCGTCACAATGTTCCCAATAAAATGAGACCAGTTTCATCTGTAGATCTTCCCGGTTGAAATTTCGGAATTTTTTTCAGATATTAAATTGATCTGGCGACCATTCGGTCACCGATTTCGACTGCCAGACCGATTCATCTGCATTATGGGCATAAAATTCTACATGATTGTCAAATTTCATGCATAGATCTTTCCAGTTAAATTTTGGCAATTTTTTTTTGGAAATTTGAGGTCACATGGCTATGGAACATCACCAATATGACCTGCCAGACCAACAGCTCTTCAACATCAATAAAAAAGAAATTGAAAAAAAATGGTGGCATTTTTAGGTCTTTCCGGTTGAAATTTTTCGGGCAAGCTCTCGGTCTATGACTGGAAATGAAAAATATAGGACTAAAATAGCGAGAAATTCGGATACCTTGGGAGAAAACAGATGCCAAATTCCATCCATACAGCCATGCAAGGTGATGCCTCTGAAGAAATAGATAATGAGAACAACATACGGAAAAATGGCTGTTACGTAAACAATCTGGAAAAAATGAAAACAGCACATAAATCTTCAAGAAATATGTTGCATAAACAATAATCCCATGAGTAATAAAAGAGAAAAGAAAAAATCCTTTTCTAGAATAAATTCATCAGGTACAAGTCAAACGGTAACACTTTCTAACCAAGAAATCTTATTTTGAGAGAAATTTTACAAAAAAAATAAAAAAAAGCTTATTATAAAGAGCAACACATGTCCTGCACTTGCTATGTTGCCATACTGGGCATTATTTTTCAGTCTCCAAGGTTCTAGGACCCATTGCACTATTATTGTAGGGGTTCTGAATGAAATCATTAGACAATGTGAAAAGTACCAATTTTTAAGTGCATCGATTTCATCAAAAAATTAGAAAATATCCAAACTTTAAAGTATAGAAAGGAAATGTTTACACACATTAAAGGATTTAGCAAGGCACCACAATTTTTCAATAGATAGGCAATGGCTTACAGAATTTTAAAAAAACTAATCCCTGATACTGAGAAAGAATAATAGCCGAAAGATAGGTACCTTGGTTGAATTTGCAATTCCTTTGATCATGCAAAGGTACACGAGTACCCATGCAATGACTAATGACAGAGCAATCTTCCAATTGAATGTGGAGGGTGTGTTGATGTCCTCTGATATCTGCAGTGTGGTACGGTACCAAAAATATTGTGTTGGAGTACTTGTCTGCAAATTAAAATAAACCCAGAATAAAGTTTCAAGTAATAGTAAGGCAATCAGGAAGAAAAAATCAATAGGTAAACCTTATTAATGAATTCAGAAGTGTCAGAGGAAAAGATTTTACAATTAGCATCCTTGCGTATGGTTTGTGCTGGTAGAGTTTAATCAGATAGATCATAAGTACTAATTATGGCAATTATAAATTCATGTTTGACTACATATTTAGATTCAAATATATTCACTTTCTTGTTTATTTCATTTAAACAAGTAGCAAAAGCTACCTGCTGAGGGGGCGCCGCCCCCCCAGACCCCCCCTTTCAAATTATATATGTGAGACTTTGAGTATCATAGAAGTCGTGCGGCGACATGCCGAATGAAATGCCACAATTAAAATTATTGGATCAGATGATGAGCTGATAAAAGCCTTACCCAGTAATTTGNCATATTTAGATTCAAATATATTCACTTTCTTGTTTATTTCATTTAAAAAAGGGGGGTTTTGGAAACCATAGACAAGTTTCACTTGAAAAGCAAGCAAGGTAAAGAATTCTCCCCTTTTTTTTTAATCTTAGAGATTGATGAGTGATGAGACAAGGGTTCATTGAAATGATTATATTATCAAACGAAAATGAATCAAAATTCATAATAAAAACTTACAACACATTCAGGTTCTGGGTAGTACGTCCCGTTTGGAAGAAATCTGTTAGGACATTCTGACCACGGCAATTTTGACTGGAAACTCTGTCAAAAGAGGCGATAAGTTAATTAAACGAAGAGGTTTCATGGTGCTAGTTAAAGAATGAACTCTTGGTTTGCTCTTGATTTAATTGAGTTAGGCAAAAAAGAGGCCATCCATAAATTACGTAAGGCACTTTTTCCCATTTTTAGACCCCTTACGCCCCCCCCCTCTAAAAATTACGTAAGGCTCGACTGACCCCCCCTACCTTTGTTCAATTACCGCAGATCTAAGCAATACGTTTTCTTTTAGAAAAACAATGAAATTTTTGGGCCAAAATTTTTTTTAGTGAAATTAAATTTTTGAAGTAAGTTCACAGGAAATATTATTGATACAATTAGTTTAATAAATAAAAATACGTGGAGCGAAATTGAGGATTTTTTTTGCCTTTGGAATAGTTAAAAGCGTAAAGTTGACATAAGGATGAAGTCACTACTCATCATCCCACGGAGTGGAGGAGTGAGAATCAAGAGAAGTGACAGGAGCACCGTCCAATCAGTCCGAAATCAGTGATGTGCTGATTTCCTCTATTTCATCTTGAATTATATTATCAACCTGATAAAAAATGGATTTTTGCATTTCCTTTAAACATAGGCTGGAAAGCTTACTTTAGGCCTTACCCTCCCCTTTCCCTTGTAAGGTACCGTAAGGCTGTTAGAGACCCCCCTCCCTCCCTAAGAGCCTTACATAATTTATGAACGGCTCTAAACCGGTTCAAAACCCTGATACTAAATTTGCACATCTTGGAATGAAATATTGGAACCTAATTTGCAAAACTGTAGCCCGGTTTTTCTCCCATAATTTCTGAAACTTAGGTGAAGTTATTCTGAAAAATACTTGCCAATTGTTGAAGAGCATTCCTTTGTTACTACACCAATAATTATAACCTTTCTATCGTTGTAAATTAGAATCGTAGACAGATTTTTTGCTCTCCTGAAAAATTGTGTTTTCCGGAATACATGTCCTCTCAATTTCATCATTAATACCGTATTTAAATAATTTTTTCCTCATTATATAAAGCGCTTCACAATAGCAGATTACCCTTTTAAAATTTCAAATTTTCACGCTGACAAAGGCCATGACTAACCTGAACAAAGTAGAACAGACACCAAGCTATAATCGTATTGTAGTAGAGAGCAACATTGAAAGACACAACTGCACTGCTGATACCGATCCCACCTAGGTAGGGCGAGACTTGATTCCACACTCCAATGGCGCCTTTCCGCAGTCGTTGTCCGATAGCTAGCTCAAGGTAGAAAATAGGAATCCCCTCTATTGCTAACATCACAAAGTATGGGATTAAAAAAACTCCTGTAACAATCCCGGCAAGATTTTTAGTAATTAAAAATGCGAACTTATGGAACATTAAAAACTTATTACCTAGTTATATAAAAGTAAACATGCATTCAGGATTAAAGATAGTGAAGTGTAGATCGACGGTGAAACTGTCGAACCCGTGTATCTCCTCTCTTATTTAATTTTTCTAAAAAGAAAAAAACTCAACACTATTCCTTGGAGTTTTTTCAAAATTTTCTTTGTACAGAGAGGAAATATCATGGAAATTTTTAGGCATTGATGTTGTGTCATTTTCTATTTAAAAAATAAAATACCTATAAAAGGAAGTCTGCAATGTCGTAAACCGAGATACAAGGTTTGGGAGTTGCGTCATCGAGATGCATCAGACAAACAATATTGAGGAACTTCACTGAAAGAATGGAGGATTTACACAAGGTACTTCACAATTTAGGTGACTGTGAAAGGAAAGGCTCATTTCCCCTAAAGGACCCCGCCAACTCCTTATGAGAATTTGCACCGCGATCGATTTCCAATTGTTTTATTGCATTAAATTCGTTTTTGGATGCTGATCAAAAGTCATCATTTCGCCAACTTTCTATGAAGCACCGTTTTCGCAGTATTTTGCACAGACTGCGGTGGACGTTTCGATAATTACTTGAATGAGTGAGGCCAGCGCAGCGCTTTAACAAGGAAAACCCAAGGCAGTGATAGGTAAGAAAAAGAGTGGAAGAGAGAAATAATCTGATTTGGACGGTGAAACAAAAAGGTGCACGGAGTCCGAGATAAGACTACCAGGTTCTCCTCGTTTTCATCAAGTGCTGAAAAATAGATATCGCCTGGCTGGCCTCACTTATTCAAGTAACAATCGAAACTTCCACCACGGACTGCGCGAAATACTGCGAAAACGGTGCCTTGTAAAAAGTTGGCGAAAATATGACTTTTGATCAGCATCCAAAAACGACTTTATTACAATAAAAAAATTGGAAATCAAACATAGTGCACATCCTCATAAGGAGTGTGCGGGCTGCAGGGTCTTCTACGGAAAATTTCTCTTCTAAATCCCTTTCATTCACCCGAATTTTTAAGATTAATTGAAAAATTTCTTGACACTGACGATGAACATACCTCCTCCATTTTTTTGGGCTAGATAAGGAAATCGCCAGACATTGCCTAAACCAACAGCATAGCCGACGGTGGCCAGGAGGAAAGTGAGTTTGCTATCCCAAGATTCTCGTTCTTCTTCATTTGAGTCTGGACGGAAGATTGCTTTACCTTCCACACTTCCTTTCAGATCAGTTGGAACAGTTGGCTTTAAAATTGCCTAGAACAAGGAATAAAATAAATATGCGTTGAAATATTATCACTTTTTCGGAAAAGTAGGGACAGAGATATAAGTTCTTTGTTCATTCATTTTTCACAATTTTCTCTGATATGATGAAGTTTATTTTTCGCTCATTACAAAAAAATGATCACTATTAAAAGCCAAACAAAATCAAATAAAAATTGGGCTGATCCATCATAAAAAATATGAATTGTAACCTCTGATGAACCCAATTTTGCTTAATAATTACCTAGAGGCATTAAACTTTTCCATGATCCAATATTACAAAAATGTTTAGACTTAAAATGATTATAAACTCACATTTGAATTGGGGCTGCTGTCATCGAAGGCAATATTTGTTGTACCATAGCTACGTGTCACTAGTGGTGAGACGGTACCATTTTCCACCTTATCCACAAGACGAGTCCTCATTTCCTTCAACTCAAGTCTGTCCAATGAGCGCTGAGGATTCAAGTCACGAGAGCTTTGCCGTCGAACAAGATGAGCTGTATTTGCCATGGTTTTAAAACTGAGAAAAACCGGTCAAATTTGTAGAAAATTTTACTTTTGAAGAATACCTGTCTTGCTGACTAGAGTTAATTTTTGATCGACAGGATGCAACTTTAGTGAGAATAGGACAGATAAATTTGATTAAATATAAAATAGTGACCACTCTGCTCCTTTCATGCTGAGCAGAGAATTATTTTAAGATAAGTTCCAGTAAAAATAAGAAAGGCAATCGGATTTTCGTATTTATTGTCATGATTTCTGGTGCCATTTAGTTCTTTCTGCAGTGTTAAGGCCTTGCGTTGAAAAAAATTCACCATAATCTGAAACAGAGAAAGGAGAAAAATTATAAAAAAATAGAAAAAAACAAAAGAAACGAAACACTCAGAGAAATGTGCCCCCCCCCCCATTATTTCGGTGTACTTAAAGGATGAAACTGTTGTTGCTATTAAGAGACCTGGAGAATGAGACCGTTTCTCATTAATTGAAAACCATATTCTTTGAGATTAATTTTAAAAAAATGGTTGCATTTAGACCAACTTTCCATTTACGAACTGAAGGGGTTGGCACTGAATTGAGGGAGATTTTTGAATGTTTCGACCGATGTACGTATTTTTAGATTTTAGCCATTGAGATGCAATACAGAGAAGGTGTACCTATCTGTCTTAACACTTATGAACTACACGTGCGCTTTGTACGTTATGGCAAAAGGCTAGTAAAACGTTGATCCAGGATAGGGCTAAGAAAAATCACAAGTAAAGAAACGAAGAGAAAACCTTCAGGTGTTTTGATTTAAGAGCAATTCCATTCTATAAGAGCTGAGTGAACCATTTTCACAGATCTTTTTTAATTAGTTTTTTCACTATCCACACTAGGTGAAAGAGAGCGAGCTTATAAAAGGTGTGGAAGTTCGCAATGCTCATTACGGATCTGTTATACAGACTATCCTTCATCGAGATTTTTCGTGAAGCACACTGCACTTGATGGAATTTATAAAATAAAAATCAACGATCAGTGAGGTGACAGAGTTGGGATAACTACCCGAGTATTTAACCTGAGACTAGGTAAGTTCGAACTTGGATACCTGTTGCCTGCGGGAAAAATTAAGAGTAATAGAGATTAAAAGAGAAACTTAAAATACAGTTACTTATAAGTTCGCAAATTTTTGGTTTTTCGGAAAGTGTTTGTAGAAATGAGAAAAAGCAAAAATCAGGGCTCAAAAGCACTGATCAATTTTTTTGTATTAGTATTGTAATGTGAAACCCGCCGAAACCGTTAATGCAAGATTTGATGCAATATATATTTTGTTTTATAGCGGACGAGGCGTTTGGATACAGGAACTTATAAAATAGTAAATTCTCATTTGTAAGTAAACCCCTAAAATCTTTACGCGCCTACCGCACCGTGTCTGGCAATTTTGATCCATGATTTTATATCCGCAGTTCCAGTATTTAAGATTTTAAGCACAACTCTTTTCTTGTCCACCTACAGTGTTCCGCTCCTATCCTTTACAATTGAAACAGTCCTTTGTGCGTGAAATAAAATGAGTGAGCTTAAGAGCACTTAGAAGAGTGGGAAAGAGAGGGAATTAAGCGGGAGCTTTCAACTCCTCTTCAGGACACTAAGCTTCTTATGTGTATAAATAAAAAAAAATAATATTAGATACGAGGCGTACCTTTACTTAAAATTTTTTCGCGTCAATGTGCCATTTACGTCTTAAAGTTCCGAAAAGGTACGGTTTGACGTTACTTACGACGTTTTTCCTATGAATTTTTTCAAGTCTCCGGCGACTGAAATGATGAGCACCGACCTCATTGGTTAGCCTGCCAGACAATGTTTACCTTGAGTTCAGCGATCATTTGCGAAGGGTACAATCTGCTGAAGTACCATTAACTACCAAAAAATTTATGAGCACATTATTGTACCTTCCTTTAGGTTGTGGTCCTTAGGTTCCTTTAGGTATCTTACACATAAACCGAGGCGATTGTAGGTACCTATTCTACGTTTTTACTTCTGAAAAAGTACAACGAATAGCCACATAATTTTTCCTATTTTCCCGCACTGACTTTAAGATCCTTAATTTCGCCTGACTAGATATTTTTCATATTTGAAGATAACATCTTAAAAAAAAACCCTGTGAAATCGGTCAGAAAATAAAAGAGGTAGTTCACGGGGAAGAATCAACGAAACACGTAAGTCTGCGCAAAATTTAGCGGGCGAAGCATTAGATAAAGCAAAGCATAGTTACAATATCTGAACAGTTTTTAATCGTCCCTAAAAATTTTTCAAGAACCTACAAAGCAGTAACCTTAATGCCGCCTTAAATTACACGACATTATTCATTTTTCACTTGGTCGTATTTTCTTATTCCATTTTAATGGCGGGGGAGGGGTTGGAAGGAGGGCTTACTTGAATGTTTTCTTTTTTTTTCTTTGAAAAATACCCGTGATCATTTGTTCCCTGCCTAACGTCTAACAAGGGAGGGAGAAAATGGGGCATGCAGAGGAGACACAGTTAACGACGACTGGGGCATTATAAGAATTTTTTAAGTGGCTCGCGGAAAAACAACGGGCTGCACGATGTCGATAAGAAAAGAGGACGAAGGCAACTCGTAGCAAAGGCAGAAAAATCGTGGCATATTTTCTTCATTCTTTGAGTGGTAAAGATTCTTAAAATTCTCTTCGTTTTAATTGCTTTACTCAATTAGACTTCTGAGAACTATTAATTGAGAAAATTTAGCCTGGATTAGAGCAAAACATCAATTTCAAAGCAGGCGAGGACGGAAAAAAAGGTTTGACAGAAGGATCATAAATTCAGCTTTGTTTGGTTTTCTGCAGTGCAGCAATTTGAGTTAAGAACCAAAAAGTAGAATGAGGACAAATGGTTGGATCGAATACTACCGAAAGGGCCCAACCTAATTTTTCAAAGAATTGAGTTAAAAAATAAATGTAGACACATCCAGCGATCGAGTTGAATAGAAAGCACAAATAATAAAGCAGCTTGGCAAAAATGTAGATAGATGACATGTATTTTTTTTCAAAATTAGGTCCCTCGACTGGTGAAATTAGGTTAATGTGTGTTGACTCTTCTCCTTCAAATTGATCTATTTACAATGAACCAAAGAGTCCTACTTGGAGCCACCGAGTTGAAAATCGTCTTTTCTCATGGACCTGGCAATTTTCTGAAGTTAGCTTCGCTGAGGACGAACTTCTCCTTTCCTGAGTGCATCAGTCAGTGCAACACTTAAAAAAACGATGAAGCTTAGACAGTATTTCAAGACCGCACTTGCAAACACGCACACACAGAAAGGAGCAGAAAACGATCACAAAGTCTGATTACTGATCAGGTATACTTGCTTTTTTACCGAACGAGATACATCACTAAATAGAGACGGGAGTCGCACCTCACGAGAAAAATTCGAGGGGGGTGCAAATCGGGAGGGATCGAAGGAAAACAGGCACATTCAGATGGAGAAGAGGAAAACAAGGGACTCTCGTCGGAGAAGAAGGATCGGAACACAAGGCACGTTTCGGGGCTTCGACTCGGACCGAGGTGGCTCAATGAATCAATTACCTGTTAGGCAGTCGGCGCGGAAGTGGCGAAAAATTAATTTTTCACGTCCCGCCGTGGAATCCGCGAGGAGGGGGCGGAGGTCATCTCGGAGGAGCAGCCCCCGACGACGGCGGGAGAACGAGGAGGCGAACGGGGATGGGAAAAGGAAACGCGGAAGCGAGAGAGAGCGAGGGCGCCCGATAAAAATCCGGCGGGGGAAAAATAAAAATTCGAGCTTAGGTGTGACGGGAGCATCGAAGAGGGAGCGCGGTGACGTACCACCGGAGCGGGGGGCGGCGGGGGCGAAATTGGGCGCTCTATGAACGGAGCCGGAGTTTGCTACACTCCCGGATCAATACGAGTTCACCCCCCGCCCCCG